CTCTATAACTTGCGTTGTAGTAGGCCTACAATAATAATTTTTTGCTTATTTTAAAGCTACAATTTCGCTCTATCTGTGCATAAAATTTCGCAATTTTTGAATATTTAATACTAGTACTAGCAGAACTAAGGGTAGCTATGCAACAATGTTGCAATATTGTTTTGAGTTTATTGAATAACGTACCCCACGGGCGAGTCGGACACACGGGCGAGTCGGACACTTTTGCCAAGACCCTACTAAACCTCACCCTATTATGGCCCAAAACACCACACTCTGGCGCTGCAAGGTGCAGTACAGCTTAGAATATTATTTAGAGACTACTTCTGTATCATTCTTGCACGTTCGCGCGTTGTGCCCAGTCTAATTGCACCATCCACAGCGTCGTTAGGAGGGCTCACCCACTTCAGCGCGCACCCGCTTCTTTGACTTCTTTCCATCACCACGTGCCCCAAACTCCTTTAGAGCTGCTATCCGCTGCCCTTCCTTAACTGTAAGGGTCCCTTCCTTAACTGTAAGGGTCCCTTCCTTCTAGATTCGCTTTCTTTTGCGCGATTTACGTTCTGTGGCAGCTGCTAGAGCTGCGTGAAGCTCAGCGTTCTCCTGTTGCGCCAAAACTAGCTTGTGCAATAGAATCGCTCCCCCCTTTGCGTAGTGCTCAAGCGCGCTCAGCACAGAATTGGGTGAGCTACCCTGCTGCTTCTTATACTTCTCTTAAATCAGAGTTGATTGCGACTGAAGTTCTAGGGTATTGCTAGGGGTTTGCAACTGCTAGGGCTTGTTATTATTAGGGAGTTGTAGTGATAGAGTGCGCAGCTTCACATTAAGCCCTATTATAACCTGTTCTAGGTTAAAGGGGACTAGTCTAGCGCCTTAGAACCCTCCTTAGATGTTGCTTAAGGTGAATACAGCATTATAGGCTGCTTTAAAGCATAGCAGGAACTTAAGCTTTGTAATGTAGTTAATCTAGTTACGTATAAGGTCTTTAGCTTAGCGCCTATACGCCTTCTTTAGAGGGGCAAAACAGCCCACATTAAGTGGCTGCAGGAGATGCGATGAGTGCAGAGGCATACATACAGTAATAATCTTGTTATCCTTGCAGTATTCCTAGAAATCTAGTAAGTTGTAGCTCTTATAACTATTAATAACTAGTAGATAGTAGCTGCTAACAGTACGCTCCTTTGTATGCGCGTTAAAGTGCTTTAACTAGTCAAGACTAAGTTTGTTAGTAGTCTAGCTATTCTTAGAGACCCTAATAACCTAATTATAGGGTAGATTATCCTCTTTGTACTAGTTTAAGAGGTAGTTGTGGCCCTAGAAGATAATAAAGGGCGGAATAGCCTACCCTTTAGCATTAATGCCCTTAATGACTGTTGTCCACTCCTAATTGCCTGGCTAGACCTGCTTTGGCCGTCCTTGTCTCTCTAAAGCTGTGACAACTACTCTAGTGGATATCTGGCCTATCATGAAGCCTGTCTCATCGAAGTTGTACGTGTTGTCATCCTGGATGCCATACTTGGCTTTAATATTGGCTACCAGGCTAAACCAGCCCTAGATTATCTCAGGATCCTTGCAGAGGGCTCTCTTGTAGTCATACTTGCGATTAAACTTCACTTTGAGCTCTGGTTGGCGCTTAACAAACGTACTGGGCTAGTTTAGGCCAACATGGCCCAGACTGCGCTTAGCGCGCAAAGAATTAGCCATATCAGCCACAGCTGCTAGCCGAGGGGAAAATCCTCGCGCGTCTAGCTCAAGTATATGATTGACAATCACCTGCTCCTCAGTATTGGTTAGGCTCCGTGATTTGGGCATAGAATCAACTCGTGAAGGTCGTCCAGCGCGTCGGTCGCTTAGTGTCTGTAGGGGAGCTCTATAGATAGCTGCAGCGCGCCGTAGAGAGAGAGTCGCGTCTTGTTTAAGAGCTTGAAGCGCAAGCTGTATCTGAGCTTCTTTTAACGCGTCTGACTGGCGTTCGTGGAGAGGCATTGGTGTAGTAAGGGTGTTTTGGTAGGGTCTTGGCAAAAGTGTCCGACTCGCCCGTGTGTCCGACTCGCCCGTGGGGTACGTTATAGGCACTTAGCGTTTTGGCTGTTAGCAACGTTGGCGCGAAATTGGGGCTGTTAGGCGCAAATTAGGGCTGTTGGGGCCGTTGAACGGCCGTTGCACGACCATGCCACGACTGTCAGCAACGGCCAGTCTGGGCCGGATTTCGAAAAACTTTTCCCGATGTGGTAGAGCCCCAATGGCTTGTTGGGGTGGCGCGCTCGCTTATCCGACGCACTCGCTATGCACTCACGTTAGCTTATTTAAAGAGGAGACTTAGTAGTATATTAATATAATAAAAGTATAGTTTATTAAGCAGAGCTACTATTATAGCAGGATTAGGAGTTGTTGTAGCTATTACAGCTGTTAGGACTATTAGAGCTGTTAGCTTAAAATTAGCTAGACATAGGCTGGCGGATGGGTAGGGTAGGGTAGGGTATAGGTATAGTCACGTGATTTATGGGTAGGAACTAGGTAGGGTACATGAGGTACCCTACCCAAACGGTTTGGGTAGGGTAGCACGTGACTGGGTATAGGTATAGGTAGGGTAGCACGTGACTAGGTATAGGTATAGGTAGGGTAGCTAGGTAGGGTCTAGGAATGGGTAGTTATTAGCAAAATCTAGGTTACTACTCTAGACTTTGTACTATTGTATACTTTAGAGCATAAGTATGTGATAATAGACTGTGATAATAAATTATAGATGCTTTTTCTTCTAAGTATTGTGTATGCGAAAGAATCTACTAGTACAACCTAGGGTTAGTTGTATACAAACTAGGTTAGTAATATACCCAAACCAAACCTATACCTAGCACGTGCTACCCTACCTATACCTATACCCAGTCACGTGCTACCCTACCCTACCTATGGTCCGTGCAACCCTACCCTACCTATACCTATGGTCCGTGCGACCCTACCCTACCTATACCTACGTCCGTGCGACCTATACCCTACCTATACCCTACCCTAGGTACATGGTACCCATCCGCCAGTCTAGCTAGACATTAAATGCACATTAAATAACTGTTGTAGGCCTACAAGTCCTACTGTTGCCCACAGTACAATGCCACAATTTCCTGATTTCAACAACAGAAAAACTTTTCCTGATGTAGACTAATAATAAGCTTAGAGTTAAGTGGTTAAAGCACTTTAATAAGCACACAAAGGCGCGCACTATTGGCAGCTACTAACTGCTTGTTCTAGACGGCCATAAGAGCCACAACTTAGTTGAATTCTACTAGTACTGTGAGGAGCACAAGATTATTACTCTGTGTATGCCCCCACACTCATCCTATCTGCTACAGCCGCTTAACGTGTGTTGTTTCTCCCTATTAAAGAAGGCCTATGGCCGCCAAGCCAAGCAGCTGATGCGGAGCAAGATTACTCGCATTACTGAACTTGAGTTCTTGCTGTGCTTTAAAGCTGCTTTTAATGCTTTAATTACTAAGAGCAATATCTAGGGAGGATTCAGAGGCGCTGGCCTAGTCCTATTTAACCTAGAGGCTGTAATATTATAGCTTAAAGTACAGCTACGCACGCTAATGCTACCTATTATAGACAATAGCACGTAGGAGTCTAAGACACTAAGCAATACCCTAGAATTTAGGTCTTAATTAAAGCTAATTTAAGAGAGGATCTAGAGACACACTAATAGCTTACTAATATTAATAGTTAACGCCCTTAATTAGCTTACTAAAGGCGCAGAGCTAATAGCACATTTACTAGTTTTAGTGCGTAACTAGGTTGCTAACCTTTAGGTAGCTAACAAGGCTGCTATATGCTGTAAATTACACAAAAGAAAGCAATTACAGCAAGATAGGGTATTAACCTTTGCTAAGAGAGTGTGGCTAACTACTCTAAAGGAGTTTAAGGCCTGTAGTGATAGGAAGAAGGCAAAGAAGAGAGGAGGCGCTAATAGCAGCACTTAGTTATTAAGACACTATAGCATGTGTGGCAAGGCAGGGCACAACAGGACAATATGTAAGAAAGATGTGCAAAGTACTATAGATTAGTGCAATATACTGTGTAGTACATGATATTGTTGTTGTGTGCTGTAATGTTGCAAAGTAGTTGTAGTGTTGGTGTAGTCTTGGCAAAAGTGAGCCACTCGCTTGTGTGAGCCACTCGCTTGTGGAGTACGTTACTCTACAATGCTACAGTTCCTTGCTCCTTATATATGAGGGTTTAGTGGCAGTTTGGTGCGAGCTCATGCAATGCGACAAGGGCCATGGTCATGAGTCGCTGGAACCGTATCCTAGTGGTATCGGGTCACTGTTCGTAGCGCGTTGTTACACCAGCCCTGCCAACCTTTCCTCAGTAATTTAATATCTGACACATGTACGTTAGACTTTTTTAAAGATTGCGAAAGAAGTGTTATTTTGGTGGGGAAATGCGCGCGTCACGCGAATCCGCGCGTTAACGCAACGACCAGAGAGGCAATCAACTAGCTGCCTCTGTGTCCCATCCACGACAGCTCCTTCCACGCTTCCTCCTGTACAGACTGCTCCTCGCAGCCCAATTACGAACTCGCACCGCTCTTTAACCACGGAAGATATGCGTAATAGCAGGTCTGCATGAAGCCCCGTGATGGCGCATTTGACCGAACACACAGCCTTGCAGGAGTAGTCAGTCTGGCGCCTATAGGCTATGGCACCACCATCTCCACCACGAAGCTGGAAACGCCCTACCAACACCTAGTACCCGGCTCGTGGATTTCAAAAGAACACCGAAGACATACCCAAAGACTGACGGCACCTCGTTCGGTTCGGGCCTTCTTACCCCAGATCGACTTGGCAGTCCCGCAGATGGCGCCCGTCAGCCCGTCGCAATCAATATCACTGAACTGAAGTTGCCATCTTTTTCTTGGCACCTTCCCATTCCTGATGAATGACTGCCGCCTCAACGACACGCCACCACGTGCCAATACTCCGATTGCAGGAACAAATGGCTGGGTGGTTTATTTTACGGGGCCCCGCGTTGCCCTGACTCGAAGTTCGGGGTATCCATGACCGACACCCTGCATACACGAGCCACACACAGTGCACATGTCTGCGCCTCAGCGAAATGATAAATATTTTGCTGCTCGCTGTTGACTGCCAAGCGCACTCCAGCCTTCTCTCCAGTCATAATGGGCGGTTTCAAGCTTCTCGGTCTTGCTGCTCTTGCCAGCACAAGTCTTGCTGCACCTCTCGAGGAACGCGCGAAGCAGCCTAAGAGCTTCTTCAAGGAAGCTGGCAACTCAACCTGGGTGATTGGAAACGATGTATGGAATGTCACGCAGAACCTCCAGTACGCCAACAAGCTCTGGTACAAGGGAAAGGATCGAGTTGGGCAGGCTGTTGGCCACTATGTGAGCTACAGTGAGTGACGCTAGTGCTCTGAGGCATGAAAGATTGCATGCTCACCAAAGGTCTAGATGGCGCAGCTTCGGACCTGAAGTGGCTTTCTGCGTCAGTCGTGGATAAGGGCACCGACTGGATCAACATCAAGTTCGTCGCTGCCGAGGGCGACTTCCACTGGGTCATCTACGACGGTCTCCATGGATCATACCAGTACTTTGTCAACCATGCGCTTCCGACCCTTGGCGAGTTCAGAACGCTCTGGCGCCTCGACAACGTTTCCTTCCCCAATGCGCGCACGAACATCAGAGACGGTCCTCTGCCGGCGCTTGCTGAATATGCCATCTCCACAAACGTGCAGGACGAGACATGGCAGAAACCTGACGGTACCTTCTTGACCAAGTACGACTGGAGTAGTAACGTCCGCGACAACGACTTTCACGGTGTCTACGGCGAGGAGGCCGGTAGTTGGTATTTGAACCCGGGCAAGGACTACTTCAACGGAGACCACTTGAAGCAAGAACTCTTCGTACGTACTCTGATAACGCTTTGATAACGTCGATTGACCGTGCAAGGTTCACCGCGAATCGAGGACCGGCGACGCTGTCCAGCTCAACATGATCCACGGAACCCACTACCAAGCAGTCTCGCGTGACGCCTTTGCCGACGGCAAGGTCTGGGGCCCATGGCTCTGGTACCTGAACGACGGCTCCAGGGAGGATGCCGCGTCTCGCGCCGCACAAGAAGAGGGCAAGTGGCCCTACAAGTGGTACAACGACAAAGCGTACCAGTCGCGAGGCAAGGTCCAGGGTCGCCTGCTCCTCTCGGACGGCCGTCCCGCTGCCGGAGCAGCAGTCTTCCTCGGCGACAACAACAACTCCACCATCTCCACGCTCGATCAGGGCAAGGACTTTTACTACACCTCGTACGCCGACGCGAACGGCAAGTTCTCGTTCAAGGACGTCCGCACGGGCTCCTACGCGCTGCAAGCCTGGGGCAACGGCGGCGCCATCCGCGACGTCATCACCAACTTCACGCAGAACAACGTTGAGATCCGCAAGGGCGACACCACCAACCTGAAAGACCTGAGCTGGAAGGTCACCGACAAGAGCAAGCGCATTTTCCAGATCGGCGCCTTCGACCGCAAGACAGACGGCTTCGCGCTCGCGGACGAAGAGAAGCCGTTCGAGCACGGTCGCATCTCCAAGGCGCCCGGCAGCCTCACGTACACCGTTGGCAGCAGCACAGACGCGGACTGGTACTTTGGCCAGTCTGCACTCGGCACGTGGAGTGTAAACTTCCCCGCGCCCAAGGCGGCTGCGGCGTCGAAGCTCACCGTCTCGCTTGCGGGGTTCAGTCAAGGCTCGAGCTGCGACATTCTGCTCAACGACGTTAAGATCGGCAACATCACTAGCGCGAGTTTGTTGAACAGCCAGGATACGTACCGAGGCGCGACGCGGAACGGAGAGTGGAGATTGCTTGAGTTTCCCGTCGGCGCGGAGACGTTTGCAAACGGGACGAATAAATTAGATATTAAGGTCACTAGGACAACGCAGTGGAGGGGGTGGCTGTGGGATAGTCTGGTGCTGGAGCAGGTGTGAGCTTTGTACGAGGGACGCAAGAGCCCGTCGATAGAAATTAGTAATGGAGATCTCGATCAACTTCACAAAAGTGCAGCGCCATCGAACAATGTTACAAATTAGACATGGAGAATGCTCCACTTTCAAACTGGCCTCGTCTGGGCAAATCATTCGCCAAAGCAAACGAAAGGGTATATCTGCTTCTCTCGGCTTCACCTCCATCCTCCAGCCTCACCGTCTACTTAACCTCGACACTCTTCTCACCCGCCACCGCCTCCTTGGGGGTATGCGTACCCGACTCGGCCGTCTGCTGACCCTCAACAACCTCAACATGCTCCCCGCGCCTCTTGGGCCCCTTGCCCGTAACATCCCTCCACATGCCGCCAAAGTTGCGCGCGAGACTCATCCTGCCCTCCCACAGCGGATACACACCGACCGCAAGCGTACTGCACATGAGCCAGATGATGCCGACAACGACCCAGCCAGCGAAGAAGCTAGGGCTGAAAATGTACCCGGTGCCGTACAGCGGCATGGGCCACAGGACGAGCAGAACCAGCGTCATGACGGCGGTTGTCGTCTTGGCAATCTTGCTTGCGCGCAGCAGTTTCGTCTGCTCCGCTGCTTCGGCCTCCGGGGTAAGCGGCGTGTGGCGGCCGACGAGGGCTTCGGGATCCAGGTGGGCGGCGGCGGCGACGTCGGAGTCGTCAATGAGGCGGATGTTCTTCATGGACTGCCAGTCGTACTTGTCGACGCCGAAGACGAGGGTCAGGACGGGGATGAAGATGGCGGGAGACAGCAGGGCGACGACGTTGCCTGCGAGCATGGGGTTGTTGGCCCCGCTTGTTTCGACGTTGATGAGGCCGTCGTTCAGCTTGGCCGTGGTCACGAGCCAGGCGATGATGCTGCAGCACAGACCCAGCACGGGAGAGAGTGTCGCGGCCCACCGGTTCTGGCCGGACCACAACAGCGTGAGGGTGGCGGGCAGCACGGCCGAGGAGATGATGACGCCCATGAGAAGATACAGGTAGCCCATGCTGATGCCCGCGTAGTGCAGGCCGGTGGAGAAAGCGGCCATTACCAGCCCGAAGCCGGCGACGCAGGTGTGGCTTGTCCAGACGAGGCGCTTGCCGCTGGCGTTGGGGTTGATGTAGGTATTGTAGATGTCGTAGGTCAGGATGGAGGAGACAGCGATGAGCTGGGCGGAGAAGGCGGAGGTGACGGCCATGAAGACGATGAGCAGGGTTGCGACGGCGCCTCCAGATCCGAGGATGGCGGTGGCTGCGTAGGGGAGGGTGAGTCCGGCGCTGATCTCTGCATCCGTCATGGGATTGGGGTAGGTCGGGAAGTACGGGGTTCCCTGGAGAGCGAGGGCGGCGAGGCCCATGGTTGTGGCGCACAGCCAGGGGATGGCGAACCACGAAAGGCCTGGCTCTGGTCAGCATGAAGATCCTCGATGCGGCCAGCACGACTCACCTCCGATGATGTATCCTGGAAGTGCGTGGACAGGGCTGGCAGCAATGGCCTTGTTGTAGTATCCGTTGTCCATGAACACTGTTCCAAAATTGCCGATGATGTTGATGACGAAGAAGATGGCACCTTCCTCGCTCCTCATAGTCAGATAGCTACCACCAGCATTGCCTTCAACAGGCGTTTGAGCTGCGAGATCTTGCAGGGCATCATACACAGCTCTGGGCGAGCCGAGCCTGTCGCCAGTGGCATAAGTGGTGAATGCGAAGATTAGGATGATAACAAGAAGGATCACGGTGTGGACGTAGTCGGTCAGAAAGGTCGCCTTGATACCGCCGAACATGGTGTAGATGACAACACCAAGCGGAAGCAAGAAGCAAGCAGCGGCTGTAGGGACACCGGTCAAGGATGACACGACGGCCGAGCCACCGGTCAAGAGCATAGCGGTGACGAGGATGTTGGTGAAGAGACCAAATGTGATGTAGACGAAGTGTGTCGCGGTTCCATAACGGGCGCGAACCGCCTCAAGGAAGGTCTGATGAACGTCAGCACGTGCACGTATCCACGCATCTGTACATGTCGATGCATCGGTACGTGTCGATGCATCCGTACATGTCGATGCATCCGTACATGTCGATGCATCCGTACATGTCGATGCATCCGTACATGTCGATGCATCGGTACATATCGACGACATCTGTACGTATCGATGCATCGGTCGGCATCGACGACATCTGTACTTACATGAGCATTCGGCGCTCGCCTCTTCAACTCAATGGCAACAGTCGCAAAGAGCAGAATCTGCACAGTCGCACCAGCAGCATACCACAACGGCCCGGAGACGCCTGTCGCCCATCAGTATGCGAAGAAGCCAGAGGTCGACATCAGCAAAGACCAAACCCACCGTATCGGAAAGCCACACTGCTGGACTGCAGCAGGGTCGCAGCCCAAGTCCACGACGAAACAACAGCACTGGCGACAAGACCAGACTTGACCGTACGGCCAGCAGTCGAGAACATCTCCGAAGTCTGCAGCTCGTTGTTGTACCGTCTCAGCACCCAAGTCGTAAAGACCTGCATCGTCAGCCGTGCCTCGCCGCAGCAAGCAGATGACCTACCATGCCAAGGGCAAACAAGAATCCGATGCCGAGGACAATGCCATATCCCCAAGCCTGGCCCAGAGGGCTCGCCGAAGGGCCAGTAGGCGCAGGACCACCAGCCATGTTGTCTTGCTTTGAGTCTTGCTGTCGCGAAGCACAGCGCCGTTGGATTCAACGTGGATCGGCGGAGCACACGCTATCTATACCTGTGATGGTACACGCCGACTCGGCTCGTGCCAACCATCTCACTGAAGCATCGCGTCCGCTATCGCAACGCGGTTCAGATGCAGAGGACAGCATAATTCCTGTGCTGCTGATTGGCTGCAGATAGGCTGCAGATAGCACAGATCGAGTTGAGCTTGGACGACAGGAGATACACACAGGGCGCAGACTAGCAAAGAAGTGATGAACAGGAGCTGGGTCGTTCAGAATTGCATCAAAGAATGTGATTGGCTGCTTGCAGGGCTGTTTGCGTGCACTGATAAGCTCTTCTCTTGCTAATCCACATCTCGCGGCGGGGTGCATGGGCACGCGAAGCCCTCTGGTCGTGTGGAGAGCTAATCACCGCATGCCCTGTGGGCCCAACGTCCAGAAGCCTGGGCGTGGAGTGCGCCTGAGGTTGTAGGGCTGATGTTTTGGTGAGGTAAAAGTCGCGATATCTCAGCGTCGCTGATAAGCTCCTTGCCCAGCCAATCAGAGGGTCGCCACGTGCCGTCCGCATTGTCACTAGCGTCGTAGCACTCGAAGCACTCGAAGCACTCGAACACCCGGGTGTGCGCCTACTGAGTATCAGGTCGGCGTGGGCCGGGGCGATGCCGTCTGCATCGCCGTTAGCGTCGTGGCTTTTGTAGGTGTGTACTGTGTATCAGCTCAGCCATCTCCACGGGGTGTAGGGATGAGCAATTTGCATCGAGTAAACGGTTCAAGAGTCAAATGCGGCCCCTCGCCAAAAACCGCAGCGGCACATGCACGACGCGCGCCCTCGAAAAGTCGGCGCAGCTCTTGTCCAGAAAGCCGGCGCAGTTCTTGTCGAGAAAGCCGGCGCAGTTCTTGTCCAGAAAGCCGGCGCAGTTCTTGCCCAAAAAGTCGAGGCTGGTGGTGCAGCTCACGCCTCTGCCAAGGTGGGTTTGAACAACAAATGCACGGCGTTCAAACCGGGGAACTCGCAGCGCTCGATCTTCTTCCCCGCGTACTCGTCCGCTAGGAGGGCCTGCATGATGGGGTCGATGCAGGGCCGGACAAAGTGTGCTGGGGCTGCGTGCTCGGGCGATGACGCGGAAGTCGACCGTGGCGGCGTTCTGCGTCGTCGGGCTCTCGGCGCAGTGGCCGATGGTTTGGAAGGAGAGGTGCGTCAGGTTGGCGGCGTGGGCGCCCATCTGCGCGCAGATCAGGTGCTCCGTCATGCGGGCCTTGGCGGGAATGTCCAGGCCGGTCAAGCCCCCGCGCCTCTCGGCCTGGTAGATGGCCTTTGCGGCGATGCCGACCTTGGTCGCGGGCGGCGCGGTTGTCGGAGAGGTGCTCGAACGAGACGTCGTCGAGCAGCGCGGTGACGTCCGAGTGGAAGTACCACGGCCCCTGCATCTCGTACAGGAGCTGCGATGTGAGCGTGTTGACCGACACTTGGCCGCCAGAGCCCTTGTTCCTGGTGACGACCTCACCGGACTGGGCAATCCCGACGATGGGATAGCCGACCGTGTCCCAGCCCAGACACTCGAGGTCCTTGCCGCCCGTGTAGTTGCCGCCCGTGCTGTACGACGAGCACTCGGACAGGTGGCCGGCCACAGCGGCGTTTGCGAGCTCGTCCAGGTCGGAGCGCTGCCAGCCGTGCCAGCAGTAGGCCGTGCCAGTAGGCCGCGCCGATGAGCGGGCTCGCGTCGGACACGCGCCCACACAAGGCAATGTCGGTGCCCACAAGACCATGTCGGTGCACACAAGACCATGTCGGCGCCCTGCTCGAAGGCCTGCGCGAACACGGGCGCAAAGGGCCAGTGGTCCAGGCGCCGTCCCGTGCAGACGCTCTCCAAGGCCGCGTCGCCGCTCTCCTGCGCGGCGAGCAGCTGCGGGAGCACCTCGTCGCCCGAGATCCACGCGCCGCTCAGCTGCAGGCCCGCGGCCGCGACCAGCTTCGCGACGGCGCCGTGTCGCTTCGTGACGGCGCCGTGTCGCTTCTGCGTGTCGGCCGCGTCGGCGTTGACGGCGACCCGGATGCCGCGGCGGGCAATGTGCGGCGCGGGCTCGAGGGCCTCGAGGAACGTCGGCTCGTACGCGTCCGTCTGGCCTGGCCGTGTCAGTCAGTCCGTCCGTCAGTCGGTCAGTCCGTCAGTCAGTCGGTCAGTCGGTCAGTCCGTCAGTCCGTCAGTCAGTCCGTCAGTCAGTCGGTCAGTCCGCCAGTCCGCCAGTCCGTCCGTCAGTCAGTCACGGTTGGCAGGAGCCGTCATGTTGGCCTCGCCCATCCAGTCGCCCACCAGCACGTCCATCGGGTCGTGCTCGTGGTTCGACGCCAGCGCCATCGCATTGCGGCGGTCCGTCGTCGGGCCCGAGCATTCTCAGCAGTGTCAGCGTCCTGTCGGCTCACGCTGCCCCGCGTCGATGCCTGCGATGCGTATCGCGCGCTGTGGGGTCATGTCTGGCGGTCGAGCCGTTGCCCGCAGCTTCTGCCCTGCTACACTGTCGGAGCACAGTCGCTCCATGGCAGCATTGCAGAACACAGGCGCGTGAGAGCGGGACAGCGGGACGGCGGGACGGCAGGACGGCGCGGACAGCAGAGACAGCGGGACGGCGCGGACAGCGGGGCCTCGGGGCCTCGGGACCTCGGGACCTTTGAGCACTGCAGTCGTGCTGCCAAAGTCGACTCGCGCGCGGGGAAGAGCCAGCACGAAGTGCGTCTAGCGCATATTCGCCAGCACAGCGTCCTGGCATCACGCCCAACGTGCCGTAGATGCATCATCTCGACCTGACAGGACAACATCATCTCAACCTGACAGGACAAGATCGTCTCAACCTGACAGGACAAGGTCATCTCAACTTGACAGAACATCATCTCAACGTGACAGGACAAGATCGTCTCAACCTGACAGGACAAGATCGTCTCAACCTGACAGGACAACGCACCCGTCACAAGTCACGCCTGCAAATGTGCTGGGAGAGCGAACAAGAGTCGACGCGTCTAGGCAAATGCATCAAATGCATCAAATGCATCAAGCTTCCACTCATCATCGTGTCTATCAACACCGACGCTGTGCAGCGTGACAACAGCACCGTCTCCGATGCTACACACTGCCACGCTCGTCGGCCTTTGTCTATGCAGCATTCGCAACACTGTTCCCGCGCGATCCCGCTGCTCTCCCCTGGAAGCTCGTCCCTCTAATCACGCTCCCCCTCCGCGAGCCAGGCATCCCAGGCCGTTCGTTGCCCGAAACCGAGTTGACCCGCGAGCCATACGCACCGGGCAGATGGCTCGCGCGCCTGCCGCCCGTGTCCTCGCGCGCCCCGGCCAGCTGCTGCGCAAACGGCGACCGCTTCCGCAGCCCCGGGCCCTTCCAGTAGATGACATAGACAGACACGACCAGCAGCAGCGAGATGCAGAACAGAATCGTCGACGCGTTCGCGAGCGGCCTGGCCCCAATGTTCTGGAAGAAGGGCGTCGCCGGCAGCGTGAGCACGCCCGCGAGGAAGTCGCGCGCCCATCCGTTGCCGCCCGTCGCTGACGCAGAGTACGGCCCGTACGCGCAGATCATGTAGTCGACGGTCGCCATGTAGATGGCGTAGTTGGCGATGCCGATGACTGCGGATGCGACCATGCTTCCGATCCAGTGCAGCGGCGGCCCGGTCGACGTCCACGCGAACACGATCAGCCCGACGGGGAGGCAGGGCGCCGTGTACAGCAGCCACCAGAGACGCGCTTCGTACTGCGCCTTTTCGTCTCCGGGGCGCTCCCTGCGGAGGCGCTCGTTGCGCTTGATCGCCGGGAAGAAGGAGAGCCATGCGAGCAGGTAGCCGATGCCGATTGGGACGAACGCGAGGCCAATGGCCAAGGGCGCAAAGCCCCACTGGGCGTACACGAGCGCGTACGACTGCAGGAACATGAAGATGATGGCGTCGGAGAACCCAGAGAGCAGCGACAAAACAAGCACAATGGGCTCGGTCAGGAACATGCGGAAGGGGCGGATCCACGTCGTGAGGATCTCGTGCGCGCTGAAGCGCTCCTTGAACCGAGTCAGCTCGTTTGGGCCCCACACGTTGACAGGCTTGCCGTCCTTGTCGCCTTCCTGTCTGCGCCTCTTGGCGATGCGGTCCATGAGCACGGTTGTGCGCGTCTCGGGCACGAGGCAAGCGTGCGCGATCTGGACGGCGCATCCGAAGATGAGCTGGATCCAGATGTTCCAGCGCCAGGCGAGGAACTGCTCGACGAAGCCGCCGACAATCGGCCCGAGCACCGAGCCACCCACGGACGAGAAGACGATGAAAGCAACAGCGTGCTGCTGGCTGTCGGGCTCCCACATGTCAGCGACCATGGCCAGGGTGACGGAGCCCCCAGCCGTCGACAAACCGCCGAGCGTACGGAACGCGATGATGGTCGCGTAGTTGGGCGCAATCGCCACGGGGATCTGGAACGCATTGACCAAGAGCAGAGACAGCTGCAGGATCGGCCATCGACCGAGCTCCTCGGACCACGGCGCCCAGAGCTCGCATCCAAACGCATACGCGACCAGAAACGCCGCCGCACCGACGCGCGCCGCCTGCGCGCTGACGCCGAATTCCTCCGAGATGCCGCCGACGGCGTTGCTGTACAGCGACGTGTTGAAGTTCATCGACACCTGCACGAGGAACACAATCGACAGGATCATCCACTTCTTCCGCTCCGGGAACGAGAAGCCGAGCTCCGAGTAGCAGTCCTCCTCGGTCATCTCGTAGCGGTCGTAGGTGCCGAATTTCTCGTAGTGTGCGCGCTCATCCTCGCGCGTCGCTACTGGGACTGCCGCGTTCTCACCCGCTCCGCTGCCGGGCTCTGACGATTGCTTCTTTTCGTTGACCGCGGTCTCGTGGTTGCCCACGGTTTCCGCGTCGTGGATCACCGGCTTGAATTCGCCGGGGGCAGACATGATGGAGACGTGTCGTTGTCGTTGTTTGTGGTGTATTTTGTTATTCGTGGTGCAGCTGGCTATTCGTGGTGCAGCTGGTTATTCGTGGTGTATTTTGTTATTCGTGGTGTAGCTGGTTATTCGTGGTGTATTTTGTTATTCGTTGTGTAGCTGGCTATTCGTGGTGTATTTTGTTATTCGCGGTGGGCTTGATTATTCGCGGTGGACTTGATTATTCGCGGTGGACTTGGTTATTCGCGGTGGACTTGATTATTCGCGGTGGACTTGATTACTTGCGGTGGACTTGGTTACTCGCGGTGGACTTGGTTATTCCAGAGTGCAGGGCTGCATCAGGCGCCTTGTATACCGCGGAGATAAAACCCAACACCTCACCCACGGTTCCCCAGACTGCGAACCGATTTCGATTGCGGGGCGCGTCAGATAGCGTCAAAGGGTAGGAATTCGGGACGACAAGAGGACCCTGCGGCAGCGCAGTGCATCTTATAAAGCAGCTCACACACGGCGCGTCGCTGCACTCCGCGCATCAGATGTTGCAGCCGCCAGACGTCATACCACAGCATTGTGTTGACCGGCCGTCGTGACCCTGGCTCGCGGCAGCAGAGGCGATGAGCAACATCGTCTTAGCCCGTCCACGGAGTAGTGATGCAATACCACTGTCAACAGTGGGTCTGACCAGCTTATCGGACGCACGAAATAGATGCTGGATGGAGGATGCTGGCCCGTATTCTGCACGTCATCGCTACATGCCACCATCGCACTCACAATATCCCTCCTTATTTTCGGATGTCGCCCATTCAAGCTCTCCAAGCCCTTCTTCACCCCCCCAAGCCTCTTCAAACCCGCCACCAAGCACCGCCGATCGCTTACGCCAAGGACGCCGGCTCTTGGTACATGCACCGCCATCGACGTCATTGCAAAATCCCATCCCGCACCAGGATCGGAATTGCGCGATGTCACGGTATCGACGGTCCGGACTCGTTTGGGCATAGCGCAGACGAGGCCGCAGAGCCGCACGTCTCCACTTGCACGGTGGATGCGGCTGTTGTGGTCAATCTCCCAAGAGCGTGAGCATGTCTGTGCGCGCGTTTTCGTGGCTGGGAGGCGAGAGAGCGAGATGCGAAGTGACCTGGCTTTGCCTTTGACAGATCTTGAGCTTTGGGGCTGCTGGCTCACGACTTTGGCGTGCACGGGAACATTTCTAAAGACACGTTCGGTCGGGTGATATGCTATGACATGACTCGTGATTGTGGGATCATCAACAGCGAGTTGACGAGAGACCCGCACTCCACACAGCAGCATTGCGGATTCGTGCGCGCCACGGGGTAGGATGCAATATGCGATTTGCGTTGATACAGAACAGGATGCCCGTCTCCGTCTCTTGCGCTGCAGGTGGGATTTTGGCCAGCGGGCCTTTTTCGGCTGAAGTTGCAATGACTCGGACTCGGCCTCTTGTACCGCTCCCATGCCAGAGACGACCGTTTCTACATGCATCTCGTCGTCAGCGCGGCAAAGGGCACGGCGAGCTCATCGACAGGCTGTACAACTCTTTGATTGTCGTTGGCCTCGTTGTGCTCGTTGACAGCCGTGTGCTAGACGTGTTTGAGACCGTTCCTCTATTTTCCCTCCGGCTGTGTCCTTTGTTTGCATTGGCAGGGGTAGATTCACCAAACACGCTGACGATGAAGACGCGGCGAAGATTAATCTCCTACCGTCTGTGGGGCCATGCGCTTGTTCTGAATCTGCAGGTCCAGGCACGTACATCTCTAACTCTCTGCCTAGTCGTCTTGAATCAGTCAGACTACACCAGCTTGGTCGTCTTGAATCAGTCAGACTACACCAACTTGGTCGTCTTGAATCAGTCAGACTACACCAACTTACTCTACCTCCTTAATGCAGCTTTGTCCTCAATCGCCTTCACGTGCCGACATTAGCTCGAGATCTGTATCGCTCATCTGTCTCAACACGTCCACGCCGCCGTCACATTCACTCAACATCACTGCATTGCACAGCCCATTGCCGTCCCTTTGCGCGATACTTTTAAGATCGTTGCTCAAGGCTGCCAGAATTGTATCGCGGATCATCTGCGCCTCCACATGCCTCTTTGAACAAATTCGTGATCGTGTAGCACGATATCTCATCTTCGGTCACGGGCACGAGGATATCAAGACTTCGCACCCGGAACGTCTTCCATTATTAGGACTTGCTATATAAACACGGTGATAAAACTAAGCAGGACTCTTGCACATGATCGGCATCACCAATTCCTAACTCAAGCGAGGAGTAGCGGCAGGAAGACTGCAATCAACCAGCCAGAGAGGCCCTGAGTTCGAGCATCTGCCCCTCCAGTAGACTCAGGCGGTAGCACGGACGCACTGGGGCTTCCGGTGGTGATGTTGGAAGACGGCCTTGAGGTCTGCGAAGATGGCAGTACCGGCGGAGTCGCAATGGACGATAAAGGCGATGCCGAGGTGGTTATCAGAATCGAGGTCGAGGTCGCACCGTAAGCGTCAGTGTTAGTGTCAGTGTCGTCCTCTGTATCAGTCGATGTCAATGTCACGATCGAAGTGACGTCGTAGCCGATAGTCGATGTCTCTCCAGCTATCGTTTGTGTAGAAGTAAACTCGTCGGTGATGGTCGATGTCAGGATCGTCGTAGACTCATCCACCCCGCCGTCACCCTCGCAGGTCTGTCCAACATCGCAACAGCCGTACTCTCCGTTATTGCCGAGGGAGCAGTAGGTATCAAGGGGACAGCCGCCGATCCCGCTGGGGCAGCAGGTGTCGGTAAGGTCGATGCAGCCGTTGCCACACTCTTTCTGGCCCAGCTCAGAGCATGGGGTCTGGGTTTGGCGCCGGAAGAGTAGCGGGGTGCTGTTGGCGCCGATGACTGATACAGCGAGCAGAGGTACGAGGAGGAGTGAATTAAGCATGGTGAATGAAGGAAGGGTTTGGTGGAGATGGTCAACGTGTGTGTGAGGTGAGTTGCATTGCCGCTTTCAAGAGCCCTTCTCTATTCTTATACTTTGAGACCTCCTCAGCACCGCCGACCTTAATATACCTGCTGCATTCCGAGTAACCAATTGTCGTCTTCAGAGCGGTGCACAACAGGTTGCAGATATATTTCCACGCAGCTACATGAGGCATGGTGTTCGTGGCTTATACCGATCAGGCCCTATTTGGTCCCGGAAGCGATATACGAGAGCGGTTGTGCAGCCATGAAAGAGCAGAAATTAAGCACAGCCTCAGCTCATGATTTTGGCCCGCGGGGCTGAAGCGATTTCGACAACGTAGCCTTCACCCTGTCCAGCCTATACCATTGTTCATCTTCGTACTCACGCTCCATGCAGCGCACTCTTCTTGGACAATCGAGTTTCGCGCTCGTTGCTGTCTCTCGGAGAGCTTGAATTGGTTGTGTTCGATCGTCGAGGCCTTGCTTTCATACGAGGCTGAAACGCGGGAACAGAGCCAGCCACAGTCTGGGGAAAGCGAGAACGATAAATGCTCTGCGGCCTTGGCGACCCACTGTGGTGTAAAATCGTACCTTCAATTACCTGGACTGCAGGGGTCTTGCATCGTGTCTGCAGGGGCCGTAGCCTGTAGTCCAATGGTCTTGTAAGTTCTATTTTCGCGTGCAGCGTGTTGAATGCGGTTCCCCAAAAGGCGGGGGAGCTGTCCCGAGTCGACAGTAAACAAAAGATAAAGTGCTGATTGAAACAGACACATTTTTAATTTCAACGGGACTTGAGAAGCTGTGGGTTTGGATTGGACCTGCCGATTTCCAACGTTCAGCAAGCTGTACATGATTGTGGCAACGTTGCTGGTATCTAAAAGAAGACCCAGTGTATAACTTCGCAGAGTTTCTGTGGTGCGTGATGCCCAGAATGCGCGTGAGGAAGGAAATTCGCTGGCCTAGTTGTCTTGGGCGGCAGGGCAGCTATGTCGAGGTTAGTTTGTGACAGCAATGCATGGTGTATCGAGGACGCTACGTACGTCGAGTAATTTGTTGTGTGATTCAAAGGACGGAGCTTGAAGTGGCCTCATTCTTTATATCCTAGACCCATTTGCACCACGTCGAATTGACCATCACACTTTGCCGTCATCACTGACTAAACTTCAGAGACAGACCAACCTCGCGCAACGTCTTTTCGCTGGGACGCAGAGATGATATTCCCTGAATATAGAGCTCTTAGACGCACATGACCAATGGTGTCTTCAACGCCTCAATCCTGGGCGACCCTTTGACTGCTTCTTCTTCTGCCTCTCCGGCGTACCCTGGTACTTCTTGTGTCGTGCAAGCGGCGTGACATCCTCCTCAGGCTCTGGTGAAGCACGGACAGCTGCAACCTTCTCAGTATTGGCAACCGGAGACTCAGAACGAACGCTCTGACTATTTCGCAAGCGCTCTGCGTTGACCGATCCTTGCGCATTGGGTTTCGGAGGCTGCGCAATGGAACGGGAATTCTGAGCCCATAGGCTTACAGCACAGCCTGCGGACACATCACTGCCGCAAGTTGATTCTTTAGCGTTGATGTAACCATAAATACCCTCGATCTTGGCGGGCCTGAAGGGCTTGCGCGTTGAGAGTCGTTCAGCGACTCGTTCACTCGAGCTCGCATCGTCCGAGTTGCTCTCCCGCTAAAGGCGAGGCATTGGAGTGCGAGGAGTATCGTTGGTCGGACCGTCGTTGCAAGGTCGACGCACAGGGGTCGAGGGGCCGACATGGGGACGGTGTGTCGAGGTGCACTTGGTAAGTGGGGCAGTGTTGAAACCTTTACTGACCAATGGATCAGGTAGAGCGAAGCGGCGAACGTAGGGGTCCGAAGGGGCGACAGACTCACCACAATTGGGGGTGACATTGATGCGAGGTGAGATCACCAAACAGTCCTGCACTGCTGTCAGACGCTGAAGGAACGACGCCGATTCGAGGCTGGAAGGGCCAGACTGTGACAGGTCGATTTCGTTGCGTGCGCCATGATTCATCGGTGGTCTCCGGTGTAGACTCTCTTTCCAAGCATTATATGTTGGTGTAGTTACCGGATCATTCAGATGAGATGGGTGAAACGGCAGGTTCGGTGGTGATGCTGCCACACCATACGAAACACCATGCGCGGATTCCTGAGGGAATGATCTCGAATTCACGGGTCGGGACTCGATAGAGACCGCACACCATGAATCTTGCGAAGGAGATGTAAGGCCCTTAAGTGCATCGCTGAGAGTCCCAAGGTTTTCGACTTTCGACGACGGGGAAACGACAGCCTCTGAATATTCCTCGACATCTACAGAGCTGCTCCGAGGTGCTGGCGAAGGCCAGTCAAAGGCAGCACCCGGCACAGGGTGTACAACTATATTCGAAAATGCTGGAGTAGAATTGTCATGGGTCTGACGAGATGGAGTACCAGCTGGAGGAGTCGGTACAGATTACCTATCAAGGTCCAAGGCTGGTGGAGCGACGTATCCGCGCGGCGGATCAGCCCCAACTTCAGCCTCATGGGTCCATCGAGAGTGAGGTGGGGTTTCTCGGAGGGCAGCGCTTGCTGTCGTCGACTCTAACCGTGTAGTCGGATGTTCCCGAGCCTGGTCAGTGTCCGCATTAGGCTTTGAGGGTTGGTCATAGTGTCGCACGCTGCAGCTCGTCTCCCGTCTCTACTGGCGAGCGTCTGTAGTTTCCACCGGTATGTTCCGACTGCTGATCGTGAAGTTCGGTCCGTGTAATGCTATCTTGATGGCTGCGCGTATCGTTTGCAGCCGGAAAGAATGAAGTAGCGCTGTGTGAAGACTGTTCTGACTGTCAATTTGCCATGGGATCGCGTAAACGATCATATGGCTGCGATGAGTGGTTGGTTTGAGGCTGTCCATGTCGGCTTGTTGGTGATATATATCTCTTGGAGGAAGGATGGGCAGAGCATCTCTCATACCGCGAATGTTGTCGAACGTGTCATTTTTACCGTCGCCATTCTGATCTGACGCCTCGAAATCTGCGAAAGCGGAAGCCGGGAGAGAGTGCATCTGTGCGTCTTTAGCGCCTCTGCTAAGACTTGGACCAGTGATTCGATACATAAGATCAGTGATGTTGTCCAAAGCTTCCGTGGGAGACTCGCCCCTTGCAATAGCTTCTTGGAACGCAGTCGTAGCAACGCGGCTTCCCTTACCCGTGTAGCCGCGGGCTGAGTACGCGTTGGCGGCGACGGTTTCTTGCGACTCACGTTGTAGGATTCTGTTTTCGGGTGTTGCACGCCATTGTGCTCGAGAGGCGCATTGGATCTTGTCGGGGTGGTCTCGGAAGAAGACGACGCCTTGATACAGACCAACTTCATCTCGATCACGCTTGTTCTCGAAATGTCTGGACAGTCGACATCGACAAATCAGGATCTGGTCTTCGTCTACAGAGTGCAGGGAGTCAGACGGAGTACGATCTCTAGCTCAGTTGGTCTTGGGGTGAGATACTTCAATCGTCTCAGAGGAGATTTCCCAACCTGATGGGCGACGCGATGACATCGTGTACTGCCGCCCGGTATGGATGGTACTGATGCAAACGATGTGTTGGATGGTGGGATTTGGGTTGGGTATGATGCAATAGCTCGCAGTAGGTGGTCGCAGTGAGTATTTGCTGGGAGAATGCGCGTGCGCGATTTTGAATCATGATCATCAGAGCAAGCATGCAGGGTCTGTGCGTAAAGTGATCAGTGAAGGAAGAACTACCTGAATTAGGAACCTTCCCAGAGAGCATTGTGATATATCCACTGAGGCCAGCCCCTGCTCCAAGTTCCGCCCAGGTCTAAGCATCAGGTCGCGTGGGCGCGCCTTATGCACAGTTCGACCACACACAATGTGAAGTCCAGCTGGTGGCCCTTCCTTATTCAGAGATGAACAGCCGAAACATGCTCTTCGAGAGTCATTTAGTCGTGGCATACAAAGCAGTAGTGAACAGTCGAGTACGCAGGTGCTCTGAGTAACCGATGTGAGCCGGATCTGTCGTCTAAAGTTTCACCGCACCTTTCGTGCCGCCATTTGTCTTCTGTGGCTCTGCAACCTGAGTTGAGCGTTCTGGGTCCCAGCCAACAATCAAGTCTTCAACAACATTCGTCTCATCCTGGCCCCATACTAAACCACCGAGCGTTTGCCATTGGCCATTCCCGTCTTGATGGAGTACGCGGTACGTAGGGACTCCACAGATACCTGCAGCTTTGGCCGCCGCGGTGTTCTCGCGCAGTTTAGCTTTGATGATAGGATCGTTGGCTTTTGCAAGCAAATCGGCGCCGTTATAGCCAGCTTTGTCAAGTACGCTGACGAGGACGCTTTCATCCGAAACATTAGCGTTCTGCTCCCAGCATGCTGAGTCTAAACAGTGTTAGCTACATATGAGCTCATTGTTGACAGGATGACTTACACAACAAGGGAACAGTCGCCGGCTCCACAATGGCAACTCGTAGCAATGTGGGCGTGCGTATGGGAAAGACATCCGCCCAGTGGAAGGCGATTTCCTTGTCCTTGTATCCTTCTGAAGCATTGACAGCATTCCAGTACGCTGTCCAGTCTGCATGGTCTTGCGTCGACCACGCCGCTTTTGTGGGGCTCACAGCGAGCATGGGCATGTTAGGTGCACCAATCTCACGGAACAGTATACCAAGTAGGAAAGGCTTCATGACAATCTCAAGGTTGGATCCGAAGATACGCTGGAGGCGTGGGAGTTGTGTGTAGCCAAGGAAAGCCCATGGACTGCTGCAGTCGTACCAGAACTCAAGCTTGGTTACTCGCGAGAGCTTGCGCTGATTGTATGGGATGCAGCGAGGCATTAAAGTCGCTAGCCTCGGTACATCTTTCCACTGACTATTGTTACGAAATGATAATAAGGTCGCTTCGACGAAGTGCATGCGATCTTGGCCCCAGAAGAATCTACCGGTTTTGGTCTCACCGCTGGTGTCTGTCCACTTCGCTCCAGGGATCCAAAAGCCAGGCACGCCGAAAGCACCTCTTTCAATAGCCTCAGAAGTCGCTGTCTCGAGCTCTTTTCTTGCTTCTGCGCTAGCGAAACTATTCTCGTTGAGAGCTGACGCGCTTGTGATGCCACTATCTTTAGCGATCTTGATCAGCACCTCGGTGTTGGTCACATCTTCATTGTTGGCCCAATATGCGGCGAACAGCCTTTCTGACAGAATACGGCGCTCCTCCCCGTCTGGGACACAGTAAAGAAGTCGCAATGCATTCACACTCTTCCTCGGATGCTCGGGAGGTGGCGAATATTTAATTTTGTATCTGTATGGAGCTATTAGCTATTGGCTGTAGACTTGGATGAGACACTACCTTTTCAAAGTCCTTTGCATACTTTGCGCCGTAACAGATTTCTTCGTTGGATTGAACACATCACTTGCTGACCCAGCAGCGCCCTGAGGTGCCGCGGTTGCGCGATAGATCGCACCGAGAAGCACAGGGCGATATATGAGCTTGGAATTCGTGCGATCAGCGAGTGCTTTAACGCGCGTCGAAGCAATGTAAGCGAACGGACAGGAGATGTCGTAGTTAAACACCAACGTTGGCTGCGTCATTGTGGGCTGCGCGAATGTTTGTGAGTGTGTAACGGGAGCAAAACGAAGACTGTATGATCATTTCCCTGCCAACAACAATACAGTCGCGGGCTGAAGTGTGGGGTAGGTGCGCCTCGGCAGTCACGCAGCGGCAGCCGAGGCTCCTGTTGAATAGACCGTCTTCCTTCCCTTCAACAAACGCGGCGTCGCTCACGTTGAGACCTGCGCCCAGGCTGGCACATGGCGTACACAAGGCTTTGGTAGATTTACACGTTAGTTAATCAATGCAATGCATTGCGTCCGCTCAGTCGCCGTGCAACATTAGAATTGCGCGGAACGAACCCGTTTGAAGCCGCAACGATGTCTGGATTTCCTGCGAACAGCCGGTGTCACTAACGTTAAGTTTGCTGTGTCGATCTTCAGCCGCAAGATGTCATCCTTAAAGGCTCAAATCGCTCGTACATCCACAATAAATAAACCTTTAGGTGTCTTCATCGAGAAGTTCTGGCACGACGAGCACCAACAATCACGACACAAACACGATCGCCCAGCGTATACACAAGCTGTCATCTGCCAACACCAGACTGCCGGCATACCCATCAGTGACATCCTCAAGCTCATTCTCAATAGCGCAGGCATTAGCAGGACTACGAAGTGTCAAAGCGCGTCTGCAGATGTACTGCGGTGCTCTTTTCGGTCTCTGCTTCGACTTGTACTCGCCGGCTTGATCAGTCGCATCGTGGACTCCGATGATATTTGAAACATTGTGCTACGTAGCTCAAATCCACGCCGCGTGAATCTGATTCTGGATGGGACGATTAGCGAAAATCCAAGCGTGCAGGACAGCAGGGCCAACATTCCCAAATTGGTCTCGAGGACCGGTGGAACATGTCACACATGCCCTTGCCCCACTCTAGCATGGTTGGTCATCTGGCTGACTCCTCCGGTTTCCATCTCTCATCGAACATGGCTTTCTTATCATAACAGATCTTTCCATTGAACCCCAAGACCGCAGCATGACTTCCATCGCGGACGACATAAGATTCGGGCCTGCAGTGCCTGACAGACCAGCAATAGCCCCAAGTCGCGATGCGCAACTCGTCGGCCGGCATATCACGATCGTAGCGGTCCACCCAGATCATGCAGCGAGTCTCTACAGCCTTATCAAAGGTCCCGAACAGCATTCGTTGTTTGACTACCTCTTCGACGAGCCTCCGGATTCTCTAGCTTCATTGCAACATCAGCTAGAGGAAAAAGCAACGATGACCAACCCCTGGGCATATAGCATTTTGCTCCACGTGAATCCCGATGATACTCCGAAAGCCGTTGGCATGGCATCGCTCATGCGAATGGACTTGCCAAATCGCGTCATCGAGGTTGGCAGCATTCTGTTCACGCCTGCTCTACAGCGCACGCCCGCTGCCACGGAAGCCATGTACCTGTTAGCCCGTTATGTTTTCGAAGACCTTGGTTTCCGCAGATATGAATGGAAGTGTAACAGTTTGAACGCACCCTCTCGCCGTGCCGCTGAGCGCCTTGGCTTCACATACGAAGGCACCTTCAGACAGCATATGATCGCGCGAGGCCACAACCGCGACACGACATGGTTTGCCATGCTGGATTCTGAATGGCCAAGATTGAAGGGTGGCTTCGAAGCATGGATGGATCCATCGAACTTTGACCAGAATGGGAGACAAAAGAGGAAGCTTGAGGATCTAAGGCTAGCGTGAATGTCTCGCAATGTTCGAACAGCCGCGATGATTGGAGGAATTATTGAAGGTAGCCTGAAAGCTTCGTTGTAGAAGAGCCGGATTTACAACTATGAGCGCACATCTCCGCCTCGCCAATTTTCAATCAAAAGAAGCTTACACAGACATTGCGACCAAAGGCGTAAGACGACGACTGCCACAGACCCACCTGAACGTGCCCGTTAGTATCTGTCGAACTCGCGGAGTCGGGCAAGCACAGCTGCTTTCAAGTCTCAACACAGGCACATCAACGACCCAATCCACTCCATCCATGACCTTAGCAATTGTTTAGAAACTGTGTTCATGATCATAGCAGTGACTGAAACATCAGAAACCGACTCGTTCGGCGCCCCCCTGCACTACCTTCGAAGTCTCGTGTGGTCTTACCTGGCAGAAATGCTGCAGACTTGCGACATTTGTTACCTGAAGCGCTCGACGTAGCTAGGTTCAATGTCTTCCCGTGATCATGTAGAGCAGTCGTTGTTGGAGTTATGTACATTGAAGCCTTATGCACGATTCTTATTCTTCACAAATGTTTACTTTCAAGCTCACAGTATAATTCAGCAGATATCGAAGATGATCTCAGATCTATAACAAGCTCTATCTAGTCGGCTATAGACCGCATTGAAGCTAGACGAAAGTAACGCTTGCATCATCCAGCATCAGGAGCTGTACGTACCGAAGGCAGAGCTGCAACCTTATAATGTCTAAGCATAGCACGTCTCTAGTTCTACTTGAGAGGACAGGGGAACCGGGCAAGGCCTGGCTTCCAAAGGAAATTAATCAACTCAATGCAATTCAATGCAATTCAATTCAGTTCAGGAGCTGTACCGAATCTTGAACCGGAAAATTTCCTCCATGGTTCCTGCCTTCTGCCGCTTACTATTTCGTGGACACTACTCTTGTGCTTACTAGCATGTTATTTGTATTTGCAAATATTGTTCTGTTTACATATACCAGCTGGCAGATCTTTGCCTTTCGATAACTAAGTAGTTCAGTTCTGCGCCGCGTTTTGATCCTAACCTCAAGCTCGAGTGAATACGCCGACGGCGTACGTTCTCAACACTCAGTGTGTAAGTACTAAGAAGTTTCTCTAAGCCAGCGTAGCGTCTACGAGGATCAGACACCAGACTGATTCCGAGAACATCCCACCGCTTCCTCTGAAACGAAATCACCTCTTCCAACGTACGGAACCCACGTCTCTCCACTAGAGTCGTCTCACCCTCATTCACAAACTCTCCAAACTTGACCTTCAGATCCAACAACTCTTTTGGTGCATTGCGAATACCACCCACCGACCTCTGTTTGACCGCTCGGTGCATCGTGGTCTCCCCGCTGGTAGTCATTATAACCTGCAGGAAACAACCTTCCGTCGCAGATGTGCCATTTCGTCTGAGACCATTCAAACCAAGCAGGACGATAACGAGCGTCAGACCAAGACATAGCGTGTACGGGACTAAAAGATTGTGTGGATCCGAGAACCTAAACACGCTTTGGAAGGTACTCTTGCTGACATTGTGGTTGCCGTACCACGTGTTCAGCGATGGTGCGGGAATGCTGATGTTGGCGACGAGGTTATTGATGGATGTGTCGGTGATTTTGAGTACTTTGTGAGAGTTGTGTTGAGTGGTAGAGTCGCGTTCGAAGCGTGTGATGTTGAGAACGCTGTCCTGCAGCATCGTGTGGTCTTGTGGGTATGTCATTGTTGTGGTGGTTATCATTAGTGTGGCATTACCTACTAAAACCATCCCCGAATTCTGATCTAAACCCTCCAAGGTCCACTCTGGCCCCGTTCAGTAACAAGTATTGAGGCGTCGTTTGCGCATCCTATACGACAAATGATTGTCTAACCTAATAATCCAGATTCGAGCCGATTCGCATTCGCTTTCCGAGGAAGTAGCTAAGATATCCAGTTCTCATACTCCTTTTCAACACTCGGCGTAGTGACGTTCTCAGTAACATTCTCGGAAACCGCACGAGACTGCTCCTGCTGGAGTCTGGCGGCATCGTAGGTGGTGCATTCGATGTGTTGTATACCTCTGAAGTAGGTCAAATCCGCGCGATATGTCGCAGTGTACGCTTCGTAGTGCATGTTGTATTGCACGAGTGTCATGGTGACCGTCGCATTGGACACCGGCTACTGTCTTGCAGAGCAAGTTGGTACGGTGCAGTTGCGCTCCGCCCATCTCGAGGACTGGTCCAGTCTTTCCCGTCGATGAGCATGAACAAGATGTGGTGGGTCGCCGCGAGTGCCCAGGCTGAAGCTTGTGAGTGCAAAGCTACTATACCGGGTGGAAACATGGCCGCGCCACAGCAACCAACGAGCATATGCACTGTCTGCGGAAGCCTCGACTTCGAACTGTGCTCTTCTGGCATGATCTCTTTGAGGGGCGTTGCAGACGTGCTATATTCTCGGTCAACGTCTTGAATGCCGTAGAGGAGGGAGGCACCGTCGGTCGTCGATATATCGCTGTTGTGGTTCGCTTGCTGTTGTGGGTAAGATGGATGTAGATCTAAATGCTCGACGCTGCTGATCACCGGGCTGATGCAGGTGCTCGACGTCAATTATGTCGTGAAAGGATGCGTCATGGAGGAAATGGATCACCAGGCTGTCAATGAATTGGCGGGGGCGCTGACGACTATATGCTGCCGCCATGCTTATAGGCTCGCACAACAGGGCGGAGTGCAGCGCTGCTGAATGTGTACAAGGTAAAGTGACAAATAATGTGCGGAGGTGGTTTATGAGCACCGCTTCATATGTCACAATGAGACTTCGCGGGCAGGGTGTGCATGCAGAACCCAGCCGAGAGCAAAGGGCCATTCCTACTGGACATAAGTAGCAGGGCCGATTTTGTCAGCCGCGATACCTGAATATGGAACTAGGCTTACATCTCACATGGCAAATTTTGCAGATTCGTGCAATGTACACTGTGATCGCTTTGCTTTGGTATGTACATCCATGCATCCCGTCAGGCTCGTTGAAAGTCGAAAAGTAGGCATCAATGCTACGCCAAAACTCCGAAACATGCTTTTCTTGGGCTACTAGTGATGTCGTTGCACGCAATCCCACTCATACTACAACCTGTTAGTATTGCTAATGAATCCGTTCAACACTCCTGACTTACAACTCGCCCATCTTCATCACCGGTGTACACGCTCCTCTCCAACGGCAATATGCACGTTATTGGCGCTGCGGTGCGCTCAATCATTGGATCCCCATGAGCCAGCACGTTCACGAGATCGATCGACCATGTGGATGACGATCGGTTGGGGGTTGTGTGCGCGGCGGATGAGGGATTCGTAGCGGCAAAGGGTATTTTGGGGTTCGGTGTGAGGTGGAAGATCTGCTGCTTGTTAGGTGGGTGTGAAAGTACGCATAGGGGAATTCCATACCTTGACAATGCCGCGACGGTGCCCGGTGAAGATGAGCTCACGCTCGCACCACTCGTTGCCAACGCCTTCGTACACAGCGATAGACGTGATACCTTCGGTGTCGTCATCGCCATCGCATACATCCTCATCGAAGAGCACTGTGCCGTTTAAGGTCGTGACGATGAGTCGCTGCCCAATTGCAAGTATGATATGCCCTGTGGCGCTGTTGATGCGCGCAGCTTGCACGGGCGTTCGAGCCCTCCTCTGTCGTGGCCCCAGGTCTAGTTCACGCACGAACTCATTGCGGTTGAGGTCCCACATGGAGACTTTCCCATCCTGGTCTGCGCTCAGGAAGGCTGAGAAGCCACGACTGGCAGCGAGGCTAATGACAGGTGACTTGTGCCCGAACAAACTGGTCAGGTGCTGAAGCTCGATGTGGCCTTTCTCGGCTCGAATGATGTTCCAGACAGCCAGCGTGCAATCAGTACCTGCTGTAATGAGCGTGCGACCATCGACGAAAAGTGAAGTGGTAAGCTGGCCGGAGTGCAGGTGCTCGAATAGCCCGAGAAGACGTTTCGAGTGCGAGTCGTAGAAGCGTACAGAACCATCAGTGAAGCCCCATTCCATGTATACGTTGTAATGGGGTGGCAAGTTGTGTCTGAACGGTGCAGAGCAAAGGAGTTTGTCGCTCTTCGCGATATAGTTCAGGGAAGAGATACGGTCTTGTGCATCAAGAAGCGTACCCGGCACGCGGTGTAGACTTTCAGCGGCAGTATCGAGCTTCGTCGCTTTTGTGACATTTTCTCTCGACGGATGTGGTCGCTGGAACACCTGTGTGGGTGTTTGGCCGAAATTATTGATGACGCTGATCTTCTGAGCACGTTCCTTCTCATCTGTGATGGAATCCAAGTCAATTGCACCCTGGTATGTCATCCAGTGGAAAACGTTGGCCGCCTCGACAGCAGCTTCACCACGCTGCTTGTGCCCAAAGATCAGGTCAATCCAGTGATGAAGGTTTGCGCTGACATGGGGCGACTCAAGAGCCTCGCGCTGCTTGGCGATGAAGATGGCTGGGTCGCCCTTTGCCCATGGAGGCAGCTGCACATTGTCGATGCTCGATTCATCAGATCGCAGACCAAAGTTGTAGCCGTTGACATTGGTGAGGAAGTCAGGCAGGAAGAAGAACTCGGGTGTCAGTTCACGAACATCTGCCATGTTCTTATTGGATGCTGACTCCCAAGCATTTTGGATCGAATAGAACATACGATCAGCATGATCCCATGTACCGCCTTGAATCAGAAAGAAGGCCGCGCTGTATGGCTGCAAGCGCATGAGGTAAGAGGCGACAGTCATAGCTGATGAGTAGTGCGTGCCAAAGTGGAAGGCGTGATCCGGGTCGCCCATCTCAGCGAAAGAGCTAAATCGCTCACGTATGGACTGCTCCTGCCTCGGGTGCTGGATCCCGATTGGCTTGCTGAGATCGCGAAAGTTGCGAGGGTCAGTCAGATCCAGCTCTTCGCTTTCGTAGTTTGAGATGACCCAAGGGAACACAGGATACTGCGTCAAGTCGTTGAACGTGCGCCCAGCCAGTGTGTTGACGAACATCAGGTAGTGGAAGTTCGACACCTCGCCTTTGAGCCACTTCTTGGTTGCTGGGTGCGATGTAACCGAGCTGAAAGCAGAAGCGAATCGTGAGCCTAAAGTCTGTGGAGCTTCTTCGACGTTGCGCAAGGAGTCGAGACGCCAGACGATCTCAGAATTGGCGAGCTTCTCTGGGTTGACGACGTGTGACGCGCGCTGCAGGACTCGTCCATGTATGTCATTGCGTGCTTGTGCAGAGATCGCAGTAAGTAGGTAGCTGCGTCCATCGTCGAAGAAGACCTCGATCGCAACATCGCGGTGCAAGAAGCGGCGCTTGGAGATGCTGATGACCTCGCTCCACTTCCAGTGTCGTGCTGACTCCTCTTGGGTTCTTGGCGGCGGACGTCGGTTCGTGACTGCCTCTTTGCCCGCGATGACTTGCACGTAGGGGTCGCGCTCGTCTGGCGGCGCCTGCCACACTCGTACGATCTCACCATCTGACCTCTGGAAGAAGTCATCAAGTAGATACAGACAGTCTTTGCCCACAATGAGCAGTCCTTCGATGGCTTCGAGGCCGACGACGCGCGAGATGTTGCAGACGTACTGCACTTGGTCGCCACGATTGAGACTGCGCATGACCTTGCGATTCTTATCCTCGAAGCCATCTTCGTCTTCGTATAGGGCATCGACCATCTCGAAGTCTTCTTCACTGCCTGAGCCATCCTCCTGCTGCGATTCTTCCTTTGTCATCGTGGAGGGTGTGCCGGACCGCCGGCCAATGGGTGTTACCCCCAAGGCATCCTTTGCTGTGATTGGCGCAACGTTGGTGTCGAGCTTGAGTCTTCCCAATGTATCCGTATCTTTGCGTTTCGGCTGGTACTGCTGATCGCGATTTGTGTTGTCAAGGATGATGCGCATACGCCTTCGATCGCGGCCTTCGGTCTCATCAAGACGCCACTTGGCGGGTGGGCTGTTGTCGAACAACGCGCAAGGTCCTTTGAGCTGATGATCGAGCTTTGCAAGGACCGTCTGCAGGTAAGTAGCATTGTCTTGCTGGTCTTGCAGTACTCGTTGGTGTTTGATGCGTTCTGAAGCGTGGATGTTGGACCTCCAATGACCTGTCGAATTCTCGTGGTGGTTCCAGATGCTCTCACTCGTCAGCTCTTCAGCCTGCCATTGCTTCAGCTTCTCTTTCCGCTTGCCAATGCGTTTTGTTGAGGTCTCCTCGGTGCGTTTGTTCTGCTCGTGTGCGAACTCTTCCCATGTCCTGGTCAACGAGCCGTAGAATAACGTATCGAGCTCTGTCTTATGCTCATCAAACCACTGCAAGAACGTCTCGTTATCCAGCTCCGCAAGCTTCAGGAAGCCTTCAAACAAGTTCTTCTTGTCTGATTGTATAGCGTTACCTAGAATGCTGGAGGTCTCATGGGGCTTCTGCACAAGCAACAGCCGCCAGAAGTTTGCTGCAGCCAAACGCACCAGCTCGTAGTGAGAGAAAAGCTTTGTAAAGAACAGATAACAAATCATCTTCAGGGAAAAGGTATCGGTGTTTGCAGAAGACATAATGATTGGCTGCCAGTACACCATCTTCTCAATGATCGATGTGGTCGTGAACCCATCTTCGGAGTCGTCAGGCTCAGCAAGCTGCAGCAACGCGACTTTGAGAAACGTCGCTCTCATAGTCTGGATGGCTTGTGTGCACAACCGCACTGATTTGATCGCCGAAATGTCTGGTCTCTCAAGGTACTCGAGCAGAAAGCCAGTGAAGTCAAGCAGCGGCTCTGCTCCCTGTAGGAACCAACCTTCGAAGACAGCTTCAGAGATGTGGCTGACAAAGCGCGACAGGTTGATGAGAACTCTAGGCTCGTGCAAGAGGTTCTGATCCAGCTGTAGCGCGTTCTTGACGGATGTCAGGATTTGGCGGAGTATATACGACTCAAAGTAGGCCTGGTGCTCCTGGAAGCCTGGCGGGGTCTTCATGAACAAGCCAAGCCCGGGAAAGTCCTTTCGAGTGAAGAGCTGCTCCTTGAAGACATCCAAGACGACCTCAAGCATGGCTTCCACCACCGAGCTGCCTACTTTCATGGCCATAGGAGCTGTGTTTCGAGGCGACATGATAGGATTTAGTGGTGGATGCTTTGCAGCCTTCTTCGACTTGTCGGCTGAGATCAGAACGAAAGACGATGCTCTTCGGAACGGAATGACTCGTTGAGTGCCAGGCGAGGGTGCGGCGGCGGCATTGTTAGTACGTATGATAGGGGTTTGCTGGCTGCTAGCACCTGATACTGGCTGGATGACAACGTCCTGACCTTCGAACGTAAGAGCCGAGCCTCTTGACAACAACTCCGTCTCCGCGCTGACGCTGTCTGACGTGACAATGACTGGGTAAAGAACGAAGAGCAGCTCCTGGACATAGTTTGACGTATTCGCATAGTCACGGAAGACCTGAGACCTTGCATGCAGCTCTGATAAGAACTGAATCGCTGAGTTCAGTACTACTGCATAGTTGCTGAGACGCTCCGACTGCGGTGCTCTAGTGTCTGGCAGTGTTAGCTGGGCGTTGAGAGCGCGAATGACTTTACTCACCAACCGTAGGCTGCTTTGCATTAAGGGACATCGTTCTACGGCGTCCTCTGGATGGCGTGCCTTCAGTATCGCCGTCCTTCGGACGCTCTGTGTTGCCGGTCTCGCGGTCTCGTACAATAGCGCGTAATCCAGTATCAAGCATGGCTGTAATGACCGGGAAGATCTCAGGATAGGCTATTCGCAGCTTTGATTGCGGTGAATGTGTCATGAAAATGTCGACTAGGTTGAAGACATCAAAGTCGCGCTCGAAATCGATGGTTGCCACATCGCGGTCGAATAGGATAGCGAAGCAAATGGTCCAGATTCCAGGGGTGTTCCACCAGTGGCGTAATCGATTTTTCAGGATGGTAAAGCCTCCTGTCTTGTCCCCAAACTTCTTGACGTACGGTGGTCCGTTCGTGACGAGTAGGCGCGCCAGTATCCTCGCACCGAGTACGACGACACGTTGGTCAGTCTCTGCCAATAGGTACAGAAGCCACTTTCCCGTGACATTCTTGGCAAACCGAACAATCTCATGCGGGCTGTGAGCATCGCACAAAAACTCAGATAGTAGCCTCAGTATAGCTATTCCTAGGTCCGGCAGGGAGAGCGGCGAAGACTCTGGTGTAATCGACGACGGGCTCGACGATCGAGGTGTGAATGCGGGTGTCAAGTTTGGTGGAGTCCCTCTGCGAAGGCGTAGGGTGCTTGCTTGTGGTCGCAGTGCTCGCTTAGCATATGATGCGCGGCTGTCGTGCAGGGCATAGGTGACAAACAAGGACAGCGATCGAGCATTCTCACCGTTGAAATTGATATGCAAGAGTGCTTTGAAAGATTCAAGGAAGAGTGGAAATGTCTGAGGCGTGAAACTCTCACCCTTCAGAGCGTCTGTCAAGCGCTTGACGACTCCTGCAGGTTCGGTCAGTTAAACTCAAAAGGCGACAAGGCACACATACTGATTCTGTGAAAACGTTTGGCATTATAATGATGATGCTTGCTGCCCTTCGCAAAGTGTATGAACTGCGTGTAATACTTCCTCTGTGTATCCAACGATGTCGCTCTGCGCCAGATCTCGAGATCCACAAGAAGCACTCGGTAAGCAAGCGGGTTGATGATGAGCGAGTCTTCCGGATGGCGCTCGTCGTAACCCACGAAATGTAGTATGACCGAAAGCAGTTGCGCGACGAATTCCTCGCACTGCTCCGGAGTTACATCAATTGACGATGCATTCCGCATAACTAGGCCGCCCATGGCAAAGCCAATCTTCTGACGCAGTACCTCAGCAAGTATTGCGAAACCATTGCTTTGCTCCATGGCTTCGCAATTTCTCCAGTTGCCTTCAACGGCCTCCAAGAGAATTCGCACGGCACGCAGCACGCTTTTCAGCGATTGCGCGGCATGCACAAGCTTCAGACCAACAGCGGCACATCCTCCAATGCGCCAGATGGCATCGTCGAGCGATTGTGGTACTACAACAACGGGGTCACCTGATAGCCTACCGAATCCGCGTGCCAGCGATAGAGCATCGTTTATTGATGGGACGGCAGCGTTGATGATGATGGGCGTGCTATGAGCCCTCGTATACTTGTGTAGAGACCTGGCAGAGTCTCGGGAAAGAGACCTGATCAATTGTGATTCATCAATGGCATTCCTATCATCATCGTCCATTACTGAGCTGGGCGAGAAGCTGAGTAGGATCTTCGCCTCGGGCATGAGGTAGCCTGCGTTCGATCGAATCGCGGTCACGATGTCTGAGCGCTCTTCTCTTCCAGGATGCAAGATCTCGTTGTGCACATGCAGCTCTGCCGAGGTGCGGTACGTTTGGAAGGAGCCTAGCCTGTCTTGAAAGTTGCCGCTGTACCTGGGACCTAGCTTGTGGTAAACAGCAATCAGTTCGTCTGACAATGGTTCTGAAAAGAGGTGGAATGATGCCATAGACATCTTCGATGTCAAAACGTTCCTGCCAAGTCGAGGAGCAAGATTGCGTGGCGTGCCCAAGAAAGCCAATATGTGGTGTTTGGAGGTGCTCGAGGTCATGGAGGCGAAGCTGTCTTGGCTGCTATCCAGCACCGGTGGATGCGAGGGGTAGTGTGCCTTGGTCGTCTCTGTGAACTCGCCATCGACAAAGATGGAGGCCTTGTGGCTGCCCATACCCATGCCCTTCGCTCGTCGGTGCACAACGGCGATGTGATACCATCGGCCCTCTTCGAAGCGTGGCGCCTTCTTGAAGCGCACACTAGGCACAACGCCAGACGCATGGCCCATGTATGTTTGTAGTATGAAGCAGCGGGTGTCCTTTTCTAGGTATGCCATGAGAAAGCAGGTCTGAGTATCGTCGTATGCGCCAAAGAGAGTAGTGTGGCAGTTGGGATCGTACTTATCCACCCGCATCCACGTCGCGAATGTGTAGCCGCCGCCTTGGGAGACCGGCGGGAAGGGTCGGCCGAGATCGGGCAACTCGATGGCGCTGAAGCCGTGCAGGGAGAGGTCGAACTGGATGAAGTGAGGAGCTCTCGATGTCTGCATGCCTCGGTGCAGAAATTCGGCGGCTTGTTCTGACGAGGCGGCTTGGCGGAAGAGGTAGTAAGCGTCGTCGAGCCTGTTGATGCCGTACTCAACGAGGCTGTCGGCAAGCTCTTGGAGGAGGCCGGCCTCAGTGGGAGCGCACTTGTTCTCGAAGAGCAAAGGCAAGACGAAGCTGAGAACGCCGGTGATGTGAAGCGCAGCTTTGTTGTAGGACGACAACTTGGTGATCTCGAGCACGGCGAGCAAGACAGCCACTGACAACGGCTTCGACTCGCCGCCAGGTGCATCTTCGCCAGACAGGCCCCGCCAGAAGTGGAAGATGGCGGGCATGATGTCCGGGTTCTGCAGCACCTCGTTGCCGCTGAAGAGCTTCCGCAGGTGGGTGCGCAATGGGTCGAAGTCGACGCCGGACTCGCCGTAGACTGATCGCGGGCTCGTAACAGCAACGTCTGTTGGCTGGGAGTCGCCGCTGTCTGCTAGGGCTTTCCCCTGCTGCGTGGCTGGCGTGCCCGCCTCCAGTTTCTTGTTGATGTCCCGGAACATGCGTGTCATGGCCTCCTCGCCCAGTGCAAAGGCAAAGAGATTGCCGAACAGCTGCTCCTGGCCGGCATCATCGTGCTTAGGGTCTGACTGCCCGCCCAGTATGCCTGTGCTGCCCAGCGCCTGCTCCAATGCATTCCAGCCGCCATCCTCCACGCGCTTCGAAAAGAAGCGTCGGTTGCCAGCGTGCTCGTTCAGGGCGTCCGACAGCACGTCCAGGGCGGCCTTGATCACCTCGAAGAAGTCAATGCGGTCGGGCGACGGTCGGGCGACGGGTCTGTAGAAGCCGGCGAGAGAGCGCAGCGTGGTAAGGAGCCCCTCGAAACCGCGAACATGGCGGAAGGCGTCCTTGGTGTGTGTCTGGGCGCTCGAGTCTATCAGCAGCTGGCGCATGAGGCGGAGGATGTGGCTCTGGCCCTGCAGCCTGTCTGCCGTCGGCGGTGACGGCTCGGCGGCGCGGAGGAGGTCGTCGGCCAGGCCTCGCAGCTCGACAATCTGATTGTTCGTGGGCGGCACCCTCGAGGCCGCCGTCGAGGACCGATGCGGGCGCGTCGACGTCGCCATGTTCAGTCGCGGCCACCGCTGCGGGGATTTGCGGGAGTCGAATGGCGCGGCGACAGAAACCACAGCATGTCTCTGTGGGCAAACGCAGTGCGTAATAAACAGTCCAAGGCCGCAAAGTGCGTACAGGGCTCTGCCGCTCTCGGCTGCTGTCACGACTGGCGACTTGACCGCTCTCGAGTTGGCTGTGGACGCTGAGAGGACGCAGAGTGCATTGGCCTGTCAACTACGAAGTACTACTGAACCCTCAAACGCCGTCGAGCTCGCGGCACCCACTTTTGTGAGACCTGCGCTCAAGAATGCACCAAGGAGCAATAGGTAAGGCGCAATAAGGAGCAACAAGGGTGCACACTGGTCATGGGAATCACAGCATGCCTTTGCCGCTCAATATGCCTCAAGGCTCACGCGGATCCATGCTGCGCTGCTGACTGTCGAGGTGGTCACGTACGCCACCAAACGCGGGGGCCCTGCGTCGCCGCCTCGCCGCGAGTCGCAAGCAGCCGCAAGTCGAGCGTGCACGGCAGCCATCGGTATACCGCACCAGCACCAAGAAACAATAGCACAGAAATACATCTGTCGGATGCGATTATTACTATGACAAGAATTGCGTGGCTGTCCGCTCTGCTTTCGCAGCTGCTGCCTGTTATCGCGAGCGTGATAGCGCTACGTGAGGCTGGCAGCCCCGGAGCTTGGAACTGGCCGGGGTAGCTCGATGATGGTGGTCACGGGCTGCTGCGCCTTGGCCATAGCTCGAACGATAAGAGAGCTCCATCCCCGAGGCGCTCCAGTCATCCACTCTCCCCATCACACTCTCCACACTCTCATACTCTCATACTCTCTCCAGCTCTTCTCGTAGTTCCCGTTCATCTTCCCCTTCATTCTCTACATCACACTCGCAGCGCGAGACACCCACCATCATGAAGTACGCATACACAATGACGGCGCTGGCCGCGCTGGCTACGGCCTCGCCCATGCTCCAGGTTGGCACCATCCACAACAATGCCGCTCCCATTCTGTCATCGACACAGAGCAAGGAGATTGCCGACAATTACATGATTGTCTTCAAGAAGCACGTCAAGCATGAGCACACCAAGGACCATCACGAGTGGGTCCAGAGCATCCACAGCAAGGCACAGGGCGACCGCATGGAGCTGCGAAAGCGCTCCCAGTTCCCTGTCACTGAGACTGTCTTCGAGGGTCTCAAGCACACATACAACATTGCCGGCGGCATCATGGGCTACTCGGGTCACTTTGACGAGGACACCATTGAGGCCATCCGCAGGCATCCTGACGTAAGTACCCAGCCTCTCTCAGCCACCATGTCCGTGTTCGTTGCATGCGGAGTTTCAGCCGAGCTCCAGCGGCCCAGTCAGGCCGCGTCTCTCGGCCCGCTTAAGCCGAAAGCGGGCAGCTTTGGCCTGAGCTGCCAGCGTCCGCCAGTGCTCCCAGCGACGGTGTCGTCCTGGGCGTGAGCTGCAGCTTCGGCTTCAACGCCGAATGCCCGACTCACGACGCGCAGCTCCAGGTCAGCTGCGCGTTGGCGTGGCGATGGATGGCGCCTGGAGATAAGGCAGCTCATCCGAAACACGCAATCCCGCGCTATCAGCACGTGATCGCGCCATTTAGGTACTTGGTACCTGCTTTAGCACTCCCGCTAACCTGCTCTGATAGGTCGACTACATCGAGCGTGACTCCATCGTCCACACCCTTGGCGGCGACGACTACGAGACGGAGAAGAACGCCCCCTGGGGCCTCGCCCGTATCTCGCACCGCGACTCGCTGAGCTTCGGTACCTGGAACAAGTACCTCTACTCGGCCGACGGCGGTGAGGGTGTTGATGTCTACGTCATCGACACCGGCACCAACTACAAGCACGTCGACTTCGAGGACCGCGCCCACTGGGGCAAGACCATCCCCAGCGGCGATGCTGACGAGGATGGCAACGGTCACGGCACCCACTGCTCCGGCACTGTCGCTGGTAAGAAGTACGGTGTCGCCAAGAAGGCAAATGTCTACGCCGTCAAGGTCCTACGCTCCAACGGCTCTGGTACCATGTCTGATGTCGTGAAGGGTGTTGAGTGGGCTGCTCAGGCTCACAGCGACGCCGTCAGCGCCGCCAAGAAGGGCAAGAAGAAGGGCTTCAAGGGTTCTGCTGCCAACATGTCCCTTGGTGGTGGCAAGTCTACCACTCTTGACCTTGCCGTCAACGCTGCCGTCGACGCCGGCATCCACTTCGCCGTTGCCGCCGGTAACGACAACGCAGACTCCTGCAACTACTCCCCTGCCGCCGCGCAGAATGCCGTCACCGTCGGTGCTTCCACTCTCCTTGACGAGCGTGCGTACTTCTCCAACTACGGAAAGTGCAACGACATCTTCGCCCCCGGCCTCAACATCCTTTCCACCTGGATCGGCTCTGAGCATGCCACCAACACCATCTCTGGTACCTCCATGGCCTCACCCCACATTGCTGGTCTCCTGGCCTACTATCTCTCGCTCCAGCCCGCTAAGGATTCGTCCTACGCCGTCGCTGACATCTCTCCCAAGAAGCTCAAGTCGAACCTCATCGCCGTCGGTACTGTTGGCGCCCTCTCTGACGTTCCCTCCAACACGGCCAACATCCTCGCCTGGAACGGTGGAGGATCCGCCAACTACACTGAGATCGTCGAGAAGGGCGGCTACAAGTCCGCCAAGGGTGCCTCCAAGGAGCCCTCCGGCTACACCATCACCATCCCCTCCGTCTCCGAGATTGAGGACGAGGTCGCCGACGAGTTCCAGAAGGCCAAGGGCGCCGCTTCGCGCACCGCCCACCAGGTTGGCGGCAAGCTCGGCAAGCTCGAGGCCGAGATTGAGGACTTCGTCGCCGAGGAGATGGAGCACATGTTCCAGGAGTTCAAGGAGCGTGTCGCCCGCGAGTGAGCTGCTCGTCTCCATCTGTCTCTGTATGACTTGTTTGCATCGTTGCATAGTGAGCGGATGCAGGGCTTGGTTTCCGCTTCGTAATAGTATGATACACGATCGATTGGCGTTTGGTTTTGGCAAGGTGCATATCTCATTGGGCTAGTTTGATCGCGTCCGTTTGTCTCGTTTACGATAAAGGATCAAAGGAGATACTGGATAGCTGAATGTATTAGCATCTCCTCCCACTGATGACTTGTAAATCACGCCGTTGTGCTTTTGATGGTATCGTGCCTGGGACACTGCGGTCCCATCTCCTCCTGGGGTTGCACATGTGCGCTTGATGCATGCGGGTGTCCTTTGAGTTTTGTTCCTTCTTTCCTACCCGCGGACCAGCACAGTCTGCCGCGCTACGATCGGCGCTGAGTCCTTCATCCTTGTCTCAGCACGGCGCTCACAGTTTCCATCCCAGAATCCCTGCGTCCAGCCTCGGCAAGGGTTGGGTTTAGGTTTTAAGCCCATTCTGCTCTCCAGCAGCGCCGCAACCTCCGGCCTACCTATTGAGCACCTCTATATATTTCGTCGCAACCGCAACAACATTCCTCGGCCCCCATCGCTGCCTGGCCCAGCCAAACACACGTTGCCGCTGTCGGGACATCGCTCGAGAACTAGACAGAACACGCCACAGCGCTGTTGAACGACTCCGATCGGGAGCACACGATACTCTTGTGGACGTTGTGTGTCTGTCTCACGGGTCATTGTGAGGTCACTGTAGTCACCTGAAGTGAACAGACCAAAGCTCGTTAGCGCTGTTTAGCACATGACATTCAAACGCGTACTCTTGGATGTTCGCGTCGAACTTGTTGCGCGCACCTGCAGCCATATCTGCCGCGCATGGTCGAAGTAATGGGATAGAGAAGGGAGAGTGTCTGCAGTTTAGAAAGTCCAGCGCAAATTTTTGTGGTGTGGCACGTGAGTCGGCAAAGAAAGTTGCTACTCTAATCGTGAAGTGAAGGGCAGGTCCGGCTGTGCAGTGACTCGAGATGGAGTTCAAAGTCTGGCACTGTCTTACCCAGAAGCTACTTTTGTTTGCCTTGATTAATTGATATAGAGCAAGTGGGGCAAACACCTCTTGTCTCGCAATATCTCCTGTATGCGCCCGCCATTGAAGCGTGGTGGCTTGTACGATCGCCTTTTCAAAAGTCCATCATATCCATCCACGACGATCTCCACGCCTCTCTCATGCTTTCCGCTGAAGTCTCGACCTCAGCAGCTCAAGAGTGATTCCACTGAACTCTTTGAGCACTACAAGCTTGCACATGTCATCAAGATGATTGTTGATGGCGTTGGCAATGACTGAACGAAGGCCTGTATCCGTGCGGTGTAGTGGCGAACGCGTAGTGAATGGCATGTGCGAAATTCTCAGTGTTCCAGAATCTGTCGCAAGCTTGACATATCTTATCCTGGGCCAGCTGCTTGAGACCTATGCTACCATACCTGTCTCGAAGAGCATGCATCTCAGCATGAAGAAATAGCCGGGTTTCGTTTCTCTGCAGTGACCTGAGTGGTGGGACATAGTTGGACAAACACTCCTTGCAGATGAAGTCGTGACAGCATGTATCATCGGCACACGTGTGGTGCGGGCATACGTGGGGGCGCATGCAGGCTAGGGGCCGGGCGAAGCAGGTATGAGGAAATGCTTGGCTGAATTTAGCGACGTTGGAGATTGGAACGGAGAGCCTGTGCGGCAGCAGCTGCGTATTGCTCTGTGGAAGTTTCGGGTCGTAGTCGGCTTCGTAAAAGTACTGTATCAGAACTTTGATCAAAGTAGGGTCGTCTTCGGGCATATTAATGTTGCTCTCTGCAGCTTCCTACGGAAATAGCGGAGTCAGTCAAAGCTGTACAAATCCATTGGTCCACTTTCCACTTACTTTGCTTACGGCAAAGCGGGCTGCTTTTGCGAAGAACCCAGATCTTGAGCAAATGATCGCCTAGTGGAGACGACTGATGTCTGCGCCACAGGTGACAGTGAAATCACTGTACTCGCCGGAGGTGTACAAGCTGTGATTGAGTCAGTGGCATACAGCGCGCAGTTCAACGCTCGCGCCTTACTTCCGACTAGTCTCATCGAGAGTGGTGCCCTTGATGTTATCCATAATCGATATAGGAAGTGTGTGGCAGAGAAATTCAGATCACCGAAATGAATTTTGGAGGCAAGAGAATGGTGCACGTATTCACGCTAAGGACTTGCTCCACAAAGGTGATCATAAAGTGAAGGTGAAGTGAAACACGAGCTGCCATTGACTCTCGAATGTACTTAGAGTGCGGTAGCTTATCGAAAATCTCCCTACGAGTACACTCGGGTAATATTTGACAGGAAAATCTTATTCCAAAGGCGCGTCTTGTTCGTCACTCAAGCGTTTGGTTTCTTCCAGTCGATGGCAGTTGCCTTCGCCTCCGACAATCCTTGTCCTAGTCTTCTATACTCATTCACCAACACCTCAATGGCAGATTTGTTGATGAGATCAATGTGATCAGCAATCGTCTTAATAACAACATTGCAGAGGCCTTTGTTGTTCTTAGGCGGTGTAGAGTAGGCGAAGTGCGTGGCTAACCCGAAGTGCTTGCTGTTCTAGAAGGTATTGCAGGCCTTCTTAAAGCTAATGCGTTCGTATTTCTTTAGGCGTACAACGTTATATTTTTTTGCCAGTTTCACACATCTTAGCATGCGCAATGAGTTGTGTAGCTTCTTATTTAGTGTTCTCATAATCTGGGCAGCAGACTGTGCAAACAAAGCACACAGAGTTCGCAATGCGATCCCAGCCGCAGAATTGATGAGGGCATAAATGGATCTCGTAGGTCATGGCACTGTAAGCTCTTCACAGTCGCAGTAAGTATGGGCACTAGAGAGTCTCGCGCTTAGTGCTTGCTCTCACAAGGTGCAAGAGGATACGCGCCCTCGTACAAGTGATGAAGTAACAGTTCCACAATCTCGGACTCGTCCTCTTGGAGGTCGATCATGTGTTCAGCCGTATCCTGGAGGCTGTCAGCTCATGCCTCCCACCCAGGCAGACTAGTTCTCCAAGACTGAGAGCCAGTCATCGCCAGTGTTGCAGACAAAGAATGCCTACCCTTTGAGAGCCGAGTACATGAATTCTACACTTCACAGCCAATAAAAGCCGCAAGAGCATACTCGCTTCACTCAATCTGACACGACTAGGATCCATGCCCGGGATCGCGTGTGATGACGAACACGGCGTCAAGATCCTGGAGAATCTGTAACCAGCGCTGAGGTTCGGCTACTCACGCGTTCTACTCAATAAGATTGAACTGTCGGAAGAGAGCCATAATTTGGCTGCAAATTCAATGGATACGGTAATGTTGGCTCATTTCATTCGGCCCTGCGCACGACTCAGTCCAAGATCTTCGAAACCAAATATCCTTCAAAAAGCTCGTCTCCCAAATCACCAACGATCGAGGTGTTCAGTGATGCTTCGGCTAGGGTTTCCTAGTTGGCCCACCCGTACTCCTTGACTTTCGCCTGCAGAATGTCCAATGCCAAGCCATTGAATTGGGTCATCAACACGCTCACTGCAGGATCGTTGACGAGCTCAATATGGTCCGATATCGTGGCACTCACGATGGCTCGTAAACCTGTATCGTCTTCGACGGTCGTTGAGAAGGCGTGGTCCGCAGCGACTGCAAAGTCCGGGGTGTTCCAGAAGTGCTTGCAGGCGCGGCTGAACTTCTCCTTGGCAAGATCCTTGAGTCCAGCAACCTCGTACTTATCGCCGATCTCATACATCTTGGCGTGAACAAGCAGTTGCTCAGCTGTACCGTTGAGCTGAGGCAGAGCCGGCGTATTACACTCCTTGCAAGTGAACATGGTGCACCCGTAGTTGCATGAAGTTTTGCCACTGCCACTGCCACCACTCCACTGACAAATGTGATGTGGGCAGATATAGGGGGCCTCGCAGTGATTTCCATTGTAGTAACACCGGTGCGGAAAGTCGTAGGTGTACCTTTGACCGCTGCTGGGATCGTTCTCCGAACGCGTACGTAGTGGTGTTGACACTGTGTCCTTGACGCCATCTACAGGCAAAGTCGGGATGTACTCTCCTCCGTACAGATAGTGCATGAGAAGCTTTATAATCTCTGTCTCGTTGTCTGGGAGGTTGATGGTTCCGGTCTGCGCCTCCTGTGATAACATCAGCATCGCCTAGAGTATAGGTGCTACCTTGAGGAAACCCACCTGACCGCCGAACTTCATGGCGCGCGCGAAGAACTCTGCTCTGCCGCATACAATGACCTTGTGGACCTCATAAGTATCTCCACCACATGTGACGATGAGATCAGAATATGCGCCGGATGTCAGGAAGCTATCAGTAGGTCAGTCGAGACGCGTACCAGAGTCTTGGATGTACCTGCCCCTTGAAAGACGCGAGCGTCTGCTCCTGCGAAGTTGTTGCCATCTTTGAATTGGATGAGTGTGTAGTGCGGAGAGCTCGGCGCGTTGAATAAATTATGAGTGAGCCCGGAGGAGATTCTCCGGCCGCCGATGCCTTTTGCAAGAGTGAAAGCAAGTGAGATCTCATCCGCGCTTGCTTCTTCCGGTTTTGACAAGCAATTTCCACAGTAAAATTCCTTTAAGTACGAGCGCGAGCACCAGGGATCTCCTCCAGCACTGCGTACCCAGATCTTAAATGTAACCCATCCTCTGCTTGCTGCTACAGCCGAATGTAGACATCTGACTTATCAACTTTTTTCTTCTGGATTCCATGTACCCATTGAATTGGGTAACTGTGATTTGCAAGGGGTTTAACTGCGTGGAGAAAATGAATGGAAGGATCAAGCAAGCGGTGTTAAAAGAAGTAGCAGGTGGGATACCGGTAGGGACCTCGAAATCGGCAAATCCAATTTTGAACACCAAAAAGTCTATTCTATACCAATGATTTCTATAAACACTGCTTGAGCAACATCGCTCCTCGGATCGCATCTTTTTGGAAACGTGTGCCAAGGGCACCCGTCTTGATGTAGCAATCTGTGCCGGAAAGCGCAATGTTACTGCACCCAGTTGTCTTCGCACATATTTCCAGGCAGGCTTCGTAGGACGATGCTGTAATCTTGCCGACACTTCACCGTTACGATCCCAACCACACTCGATCCTGGATCGGGCTCCTTTTGAGGTTTTCTAGGCCTGATCGTCGTTCGCTGGGCATGCAAGCGCTGTACCTGCCGGTACCTCGGTCCTGGGCGTGGCTAGTGTGTTGTTGAGTTTATACATATGCTGTAACTGCGTGAGCAGTGTCGGTCGGAGACTGTGATCAACAAGTGTATTGCTACCTGTTGTTGTGTTGTGTTCTGTTGTATTTTTCAAGGTCCCAGCTCTCAGGTAAGTGCACTTGCCCACCGGGCAGTGCCTGCTACAATAGAATATCATGTGATCTGAGCCACGTGGTTACACACCTCCTCAGCTGCGGTGTTAACCAAAGCTGATCTTCCCATCTGATTAACGATTTGTTACCTATATCATCCTAATACTAGTGAGTCAAGCTCGCTGGCTCAGGACTGTCTAGTGCTTCTGCCTTCAACTGGCAATCCTTAACGTCTCTCAGTCCAACCTGTTAAATAAACTCAGCATGCTTCTAGCGTACAAGGGTCTTGGTGAGTCTGTTAGCTAGCATGAGGTTGGTGGGCTTCCACTAGACTGATATACATCCTTCAGCTACCTCCTGTCTTAGCTAATGCTAGTAGATATCCATATAACGCAAACATGTAAACAGCTTATCTTTACGCTCAGTGACAACACCTACTATCTGCAGGTTGTTGCAATAGATTGTTAGAACTATCTCTAGGTTAAGCTTGATTTGTTTGAACAGTTAATTCCAAGCCTGTAGCTCGCTGGCTGCTGTCGACAGAGCTAGCAGCTCCACCTTAGTTGTTGACTTGGTCACTGAGCGCTGCAGCGTTGCCTTCCAGTTGATTGGCATGCTATACAGCATGAAAAGATATCCTTGAGAGCTGCATCGCGTTGGTAGGTTGTCAGCAAAAGCTGCATCAGAGGCACTGTAGAACAGTGGCTCTGTCCTAGCACCCTCCAGGCTTAAGCGTATGTATATTGTGGGGCTGCTCTGATATCTATGAGCACCAATTACTAGACAATTCTAGCTTATTAAGTACTTCTATGTGTGTTGTGCTGTGCTAATATGCTTTTAGCCTAGATTCTGTAGGTATTATGATAATTTAGAGTAGTCTTGCGCAACATTAGGGCGAGTGTACGTCAAGACGTAGGCTAGTAATCCCATCAATTCCTGATATAGCTTTGTGCGCTGCTCATCTGGCTCCTCTATGCTTAGGCCAATATTTCTGTCTACTAGCAGTACTGCTAGATATTTGCTTATGTGAGCTATGTTATATTTTGCTGCTACCTTGTTAATAAAGCTGTCTTGCATTATCCATATCTTCTTCTAGCTGCGATCTTAGATCACGCGTATGCTAAGGAATTATTTTAGCTCTCCTAGGAAATGCATTTTGTATACAGCTCGCAGCTGTTGATTAAACTGGCAGTAGGCATCCTTGTTCTTAGAAGCCATAGCCACAACTATGTTGTCCACAAAGAAGAATACAATTAAGTAATAGTTGCTTAATAGGCAAGGTACTCTCTTATCATACAAGTCAACCTTGATAAACGGGGCAGGAATGACGGTCCACCCATCAGCAGCGCGTGTGACCGTGTAACATCCTTACTAGTCCTTCTACGCTTCCTCGCCAACGTCTACAACCAGTCATGAGCCCTTGTGCTGATGATCAGTGAGAACAGCTGAGACTCCGCATCGGATTTTTCACAGCTGTAAAACAAGTGTTAGCAGTGTTCATATCCTACAGTGCGATCGAGATAATCACCCAGCATCGGGCTACTGTTGGGGATCAGTCAGTGGTGTTTTACCTCCACCATGTATATCCTCTTACTAACGTGGCATCTCAATAAAGCCACTGGCACCGGAACATAGTCGGGTAGCCAGGAGATACCGCAAGTCATGAGTACAGTGCTGCGATGATGATTGCGCACCCTGCGCTCTACGACTCTCGAGCGACAACACGCAAAGCAGTGCTGTATAGACCCGTTTCCGGTGCACACATAATGTAACTTCGTGAGCAGTGTCGGTCGGAGACTATGATCAACGATTGTATTGCTATCTGTTGTCGTGTTCTGATGTTCTGTTACAGAAGCTCTCAGCTCTGGGGTAAGCGCACTTGCCCACCGGGCAATACCTGCTACAATAGGATATCATGTGATCTAAGCCACGTGTTTACACATAACTCTTATCAATGAAAAGTCCCAGAAAGTCTAGGCGGTATCGTGTTCGTGTAGATATCTCAGAGATATCATTAGTACTTTAGGTGATCTTGCTTATCTGCTACATAAACATCCACCAACGTAGCAGAAACCTGTCAGGTTTCCGCTTTTACCAGTCCTAATAGTCATAGCAGGGATAATTGAAAGTACCGTTAATCTCGGTGCAGGCTAATAAGCTGTCCAATTTGCTGTGCAACTTCAGAAAGCTTCCAGACAGTGCGTGCACCAACATTCTGAAGGGAGACCTGTTCAGTATTAGTCTCGCACTGGAAGGCATGGCTCTTGAGAATCCACTAACGGTGGAGAGAGCTAGCGCTTGTAGTACCATCAGATCCGAGGTCTTCAAGAAGCTCGCATTAATTAAAGCGTGGTGAGCACCAGCTCTGAACAGCTGCCTCGCTGCATTCTTGGACTCTCCGATAACTGAGATCCATTCGCCATCGCTCAAGGACTCAATCGCGATACAAAAGGTGACCAACAGAAGAGCTTCAAACGTTACAAAGTAGTTCATCAAGGTTGCCGCTCGCTTCGCTGATAAGCTGCTATACCGTCGGCGCGTGAAACAGCTTGATCAGTGGGTCGATGCTGTCAAGGTAAGCCTGCCACAGTGTAAAGTCTTCCACGGGTCGAGGTTTCAGGAGTCGCAATCCTGTAGACGATGTCGGACTACCAAAGATCAGGCGCGAAATATCAGGCGCGAAGGCTTCGGGCGCATCCCCTATAGCACGATCAGACTTTTCGTCTGATGTTTCATTCAGTATTTCCTCGAGATCGCGAATTTGCTCCTCATACTCATACATTTGCCATTCTTGAGACATCACGACTTGCCTTGCTGTCACAAGAACATCCACTCCAACATTTCCGGGATCCTCCTCGGCTGCGCTTGTTTGCGGAGGCATAAGTCCGCCATCAGTGGCAGACTTGTCATTTGCCAATGATGCTTGCTTCAAAAGCGTTTCTGGATCGATCCCAGCCTGTCACAAAGCATCTTCGTAGATGCGAAGCTTGGTAGTGGTATCCACATCGTGAACGCCCTTCCGTCTTCGTCGCGATGGCGGTGGTGCTTTGTATACGCAAGGCAACCGTGCCCCGGTACGGTTATTACAGCCACCGAGCAACTCCTTACTTTACCTTGCGTTAAGCACTATGGAACGCAGGAGAATAGCTCCTGCATCTGTTGAACCCCAGCGGCCGCGGCAGATGGCACGGGAGTCGGGTGAAGATTTCAAAGATACTGTCGCGCTTGCAGCAGCCATCTTGCATCAAACGATAGACTTAGTTGTTATGGGATCCGCAGCTCCATCCCATGAGGGGTGAACATATGCTGGCATGATGGCACCCCCAAGCGGCGGGACAAGGGCCCGATGACTAGGCCCGTTTTGGTATAGTCCCGTAGTCACCATGCTTGCTTTGCGACTCTGCTATCGCTCAAAAAGGTTCGTTGCACAGGCATACTGAAGCTCCGAACCTAAAACCGTCATCACCAAATATTGCACAACGGGTTTGATTACTACGCGCGGCTGGAGCACCAGATCTTTCAATTGACATTATCCACAGGTAGAATCTTATATCTTACGTCGATTCCTTCTCCGCGTTGTCTACAAGGCATTGACAGCAGCGGCGCCCGCAAGAGCAAGAAGTGCAGCACCCTCGATGCCGAAGCGCGCGGCGGCGCCTGTGCTCTGGGCGACAGAGCTGCTACCAGTAGTAGACGCAGCGCCCGAGGCGTGACTTCCTGCAGCGGCGGTACCTGAGGCAATGCTTGTGTGCATCCCAGAGTTGATAGCGGCAGCAGAGGTCTTGGAAGTAGGAGAAGCGCTGGCATTCACAGCACTTGTTGAAGCAGATGCGCTTACACCACCGCTGAGCAGCTCAGTACCCTCGACGACGGTAGCAGCAATGAATGCCACGTCGCTACCAGACAGCACCGCGGTCTGTGTATCCTGGCCAGCCATCTCTGCAGTGCAGGTCATCGTGTTTGCGACCGAGTTGTAACCATCGCAGCCGTAGCTGACGTAGATAGTTCCGGCAGACATCGAGGCCTGATAGCGGGTGCCACCGATGATTTCGACGTCGAGACCGGCACCAAAGCCGCAGTCCTCAATGGATGTGCCCGTGGGACATCCAACAACTGCTGAGGTGGTCGAGCCCTCTACCGACTCGATAGTCGCAACAGGGGAAGGGCCTTCGATGCCTTTGAGAACAGGTTAGGTCAAGTTCAAACCAGTGGGGAACGAATACGAACCTCCGGGGAAGACGAATTGGATGGTGTCTGCGACCGCGGCACCGGTGAGGAACGAGAAGATTGCAAGAGAATGGCGCATTTTGAACGATCTGCACTACTTCTCCAAATACGACCGATGTTTGAAAAGAGCGTGAATTTACGACGTATGAATGAGGGACGTCGAGAGTGAATTGTCAAGTGAAGGAACGGATAAGGCTTGAAGGCGTTGCGCTTTCCACGCTGACGGCGATGCTTGCTTTTATCGTCCCCTGAACGTGAAGCTTGTCGGAAGTGGGCGCCTGAAACCTAGAACCGAACCACTCTAGCTGCAGGCTGGATCATCAAAACTTGACGCGGAATCATTGAACGACAGCCATGCGCGAATCATGAAGGTCTAGATGAAGCAGTGCGACTCATGCGCATTTTTGACGAGGCTATCCACCATGCAACACAGCGAAAAGAAATGGCTCATTCCCGAGCCGCCGCACGGCCAGCGCCAGTGCGAACAGCACAGCGTGAGCCACAGCATCTCAAATCTGATGAGAAGGCTAAATCAGGGCGTCAAAGTGTTCCACGCTCGAACGCTGCTGCTAAAAGCCTGCTGTGCTGCCGTCGCGCAGTGTGTGCCATAAAATGTGCCTAGGAACCGCCCATGTAGCTGGCCTTACAGGCGCTAGTATGTGCTGTCAGGTAGGTACTGAAGCTCAGCACAGTACGATAACATCGAACCTACAAAAGCGGATGTACTCTGACCAAACTTGTAGGTCATGGCTCATGGGCTGAGCGGTCCGTGAAAAGTGACACGTGCTCATCACCTCCCATAACTCCGCCAAATCCAAGGCAACAAATGGCTCCACAAAGCCTTGAAACCTCTCACAGCTATCCGCCTACGAAGATGCAGGCCAAACAGTCCAACCATTTCAGCCATCAACTCAGGATAAGTGGGGAAAAGTATCGAAAGTACTCAAATCCGTAGCTGACGCACGGGGGCCTTAACCCTCTCGATGCCTTAAGCTCTGACCGGTGAACAAGCCAGCCACACGATAAATATACGCCAGCTCCATCGCTCTCGGTTTTCATGCCAATATACCATCGATCTGGACCGTGAAATCTCCTCACAGTTGCATTCATTGTGTTCTGTTACTACGTTCTCGCGAATATCCTACCGATACCCTTTGCCTTGCTCAGAATGCCGACCCATGTCCTCTCTCCTCCCAACGCGTCTCCTCGCCTCAAGGGACTGCAAATCTGCCAGCTTGGCGTTGTTAGCCTGACTTTTGTGTACACGTTCCTCGCAGCCGTCATTCCGAGCAAGCACAAGGCGTTCACGTTCTCGCTGCTCTACGGCTTGATTCTGACGAGCATCACAACCTCGATCCTCATCAACAAGGAGCTGAAGGCTAGTGTCCGCGGTCTTCTGACCAAGGACAAGTATGCCAAGTACCAGCTTTGGAAGATCGCCGCTGGCTTCGTGATGTACTTCATCGCCTTCATCGCCTTCACTATCACACCCGGTGGCAACGAGAAGCTGGGTCGCAACGAGAGCGGTCTGATCATGAACGGCGTTAAGATCAACACCTTCCAGTCCATCATCCTGTGGACAAGCACCTTCAACTGGTAAGTTTAATTATACCATGACAAACGAGTCTACGGACTAAGACTGACTTCATAAAGGATCTTTATGTGGGCCAGCTTGTTCTACTCTTGCTGCATGACTAGGCGCGAAACCGGCGAGATCCGTCTTGAAGGCGAGGAGGCGACCATCGGTCTGGGTCAGGACAACACTGCCAATGACGAGGCTTATACTAGGCGTCTCTAGGCTGAGGACGCCAGCTTGTAGGCTTAGAAAATACCTGTCGTCTTGATACCTTCGTCCGGATTTTCTAGGCTTACTCAATCGACAAGGGCACACTGTGCTGCGAGATGCCGGTCAAGTATGACAGGAGTAGGCTGCTGCGACCAAGCTCATGGCCAGCCTGACGATAAGTCATTCAGTAGTTTTGCGCGTAATGAACTCAAGTGAAAGCGACATTGTCTTGACAATTTGTTTATATGCGTATGGATATCAGATCACCGAGCTGATCAGGCAAGAGCACGCATCGTGATGGAATGCTGCAGCACTCTGCGTCCATGGACGTGGCATTGATTTCAGTAGTGGTCCCGGCTGCACGCGCCTCTTTGTAGTCCTGACCACCGGATTGAGCCTGCCAATTCATCCATGCCTTCACAAGGAGTCGCAGAATGACTATACTGTGAATGGGGATGAACCAATATGGATCAATCATGGTGATAAATAATCTGATTGCTATTCTGTGTTTTCAGTATCCCGATCTTGGTGGCACATTGTGATCTCTTTGTTGTCGTGGCAAAAGAGTGCTGCGACTCCATTGCTTTCCATCCGGCATCAATGCACTCAAATTTCATCACCACCAATACCATGATAAAATCGTATCGAAAAGCGTGTCCATAGACTTGCATACTATTGCAGCTAAAAAGTGGTAAAGTGTAGACTACACTTTTACCTCTAAATAGGCTACTTACATGAGGCTAATTCTCTGCGGTACAAACAGAGTCCGGCCTAGAGGGAAAAGAACGCGTATGCAAGATTCATGCCTCCTACCACCATGCACTTTCACGCGTCGGGCACCATAACAGCAATTCACGCATCCTTCAGCACATCACAATGTTCATATCCTCAAGTCCCCAATATCGATCACTCTTACATGTATTAGATATGGTACACGATTCCATCTCCTCGAGCAATCACCACTCAGCCTACAAAACGAAAGCAGCCAGTCCGAACACTCCCGCCGCCACTACCGGAATCTTGGCCGCCATTGCTGCACCAGTGAACTCAGGCAGACTGCTCGAAGTAGTAGGGTGCACGCCCGTGCCAGTTGGCCCAGGCACGCTTGGCTCAGGCGAACCAGACGGGTACTCGACGCTAATCGGGTAAGGAGGAAGCACGCCAGGGACAGAAGTAGTGTGCGGCGAGGGGCGCGATACTACTACTGAGGAGGGTATGGGCTCGTATTCAGAGTAGGAAGACGGCAGGTTGGGAACGTCGGATGTGAGGTAGTCGGGTGCTGGGTATGTTAGTAAAGACTGAGTGGTGAGGAAAAGGTAAACGCACCTGGGTAAGATACAGGAGGGACCTCGGTGGGGTAGGCGGAGTACTCTGGCTCACCGGTGACAGAGGGCTGGGTCTCGATGGGAGCCTCTGAAGTGGGCTCCCCTGCGGCTTCAGATGTAGGTGCTGGGGCCTCGATGGGGAAACCGGCTGCTGCGCAGATGGCAGAGAGGACTTCGATGGTCTTGGCCTGGTCTGCCGCATCAGTGCAAGATGACTGCACACAAGGAGTGACGTTAGGGGTGAGCTTGTCGGCTTGCTTGCAGGAGCAGGCGAAGTCAGTGAGTTCGCATCCTAGGGCAGGAATTTCTGCGGCCAGACATTGGAGCGAGCAGGATGGCAGGTCGACAATGCTTTGAGCGGTGACAAACGCCGTGATAGCAGAGAGGATGAGAGCGTTCTTCATTTTGATAATGTTGGCTAGGCGTAGTAACGACTGAATCTTGCAGCTAACGAGGTGGCTTAGAGTGGACGACAAGAGAGCGCAGCTGTTTATACTGCAGAGCCTACAGGGTATTTTGTTGATCAGCACGTCGCACTCTATGTGTTGCCTGCACTTGAGCCCTCATTGGGAACCATGCAAGATCTGCGTCGGAAATTGGAACCCCAAAGAAGCAGGCGGTTGAGACTGAAGATCTGTTCCCATTCGCGGCGTCAGCATGCCTGCAGCATTTTCGCGATCGCCACCAATCATTAGCAGGCAATGTGCGACTCTTGACACCCTGTTTCACAAAGAGGTTTCCGCTCAGATCTTCGAGTAAACACCTGCTAAAGTTTGCATATTGAACCGGGGATCGATTGGCTGGCGTTCGGCTGTTGTCGTTGGGTTGGAGATCCGGGGTCGTACGGCGCTCATGTAGGATTCGGGAGGTCGCTTGTCGCATGTGAACAGTTGTACAGACACGCAGTGGACGAGAATGAGTGGCCAAAAATAGTCGCTTGTGCGACATTAGGGTGACACTTGATGAGTAGCCTTCCCCGCTGCGGTCTGAGCAGACTCTGTTGTAGAAGAGACGCGAAGTGCAGCTCACCAGAGCGTTGCGAGAATGCACATGCAGTTGCTTGTTGAATGGCTCGGCAGCGTATAGGGAACCAGAGGCGCCTCCCGTCTTCGTATTGTAGCATTGCGCGGAAATGAGATCTTGGCGCTCGTCTGGGGTACTTGTCTGGGGAACCAATGTCTACGGACCCGTGCACGGAATGTCGACCGACCATCCGTGTCTCTCGTGTAGATTTTCGGCGTGAACATGTGCTGCGTGCATAAGTTGGCAGTCTAGACTGCGTAGCACGTTCTTCGATCTGTACTAAGTACCACGGGTACCGGCTGGAGCAACTGCGCTTCATCGTTGGACACTGTGAGAACTCTGAAGGTTGCGAATACTCGACGAATCTCTGACATCTTCATCGCTCCTTCTCGATTCCACATCAGCCCACGCCACACTCTCGTTATTGCTGATGAAACTTGACCCTTCGTAGATGTCCGGGTCGTTCCTTTGGCTCAATGACTGCATCTCCAGATCGGTGATAGGCCCACTCTGTACCTTGAACTCCTCAGTTTTAAGTATTTCGTTCTTGACAGCTGGTGCGCTCAGCTGATCCCGACCGAACACGCTCCTAAGCACCGATATCGTTTGACGACTGGGTGGCAGCGAGTCAGAGTCTTGCGTGCAACACTTGAAGGTGATGTTGCGAGAGTTCGGAATGACGCAGAGGTCGCTATTGCGAGAGCGGTCTGTTGCGATCTTCTTGATAAGATCTGCCATCGACATCTCAATGTTTAGCTTTACAAGGTAAGCCAGTGGATGGAAAATCGCATATCTGATCGCAAGTGTTAGTATCCCAAAGTCCGATACATGGCGAGCTGCAGTAGCTACCACGGGGTTCAACTTACACGAAGCCGTTTGGAATCCACATCGCAGCGATGATCATAACATCCATCAATAGAGAGATGACGATCATGTGCTGATTGAACATTACGAGCTTGTTGTACTTGTCCAGACCGTTCTTGACGAGGTTTGCTTTGACTACTCGCATGAAGTAGAAATTGAGGAATCCATCAATAAGTAGATACAAGACTTTTTCAATTCGGTCCCAGATATTGTTGATGTGGATCCATCTCGGTCAGTCAGTAGGGGATGAGTAAAGCGTTGTTCTGCGACTGACCTCTCGCTTATCTGTAGACGCGCCGGCATCCATATAACGAATACACTGATATTGATCAATGTGACAAGCACAGCGGTGCCGACCATGAGCATACGGCCTTTCCTTCTGTCGGCCAGAATAATTCGTACTCGGTTGATGATGATCTGTAGGAGCAGTTGCACTTGTATTGACCAGTTCAACACTGCGATAGTCAGCACATTTTCGCGTCGACAACAGTAATCAGTGCCTTACATATCGACATGTAGAACCAGAAACTTGGCCTGATGACTTTCAAAAGATACAGCAAGCACTCGACTGCAATCACGAAGGACGCGGCTATTTCGAGCCATATCATCCATATGTATGCACTTGTCCATGGTCGTCGGCAAGCCTTCGTTTGTCTAAAAGCAATGTATGCTGCTGAGATGGCGAAGAGATTTGCAAAACCGAAAACTAAGCCGGCAACGATGATAGCTCGGTAGGTGACCGGCTGGATGTAGTAGTCATCGCGGATGAAGGGACCCCATGCTGTGAATGTCGAGTCCGGGTTAAACTCACTTCTCCAACCCATTGTGGCGAACTGCAGTCAGTGCAGATACCATTGATTTCAACTGCGAGTTCACCAGTGTGTCGTTCGAAGTACGTATGGGAGATAGGAGGACGTGCAGACGAGAAGCATGCGCGAATGCACTCAACCACATACAACTACTTAAGATATATGCAAATTCAGACTCAATTCTTAATGACTTTGCCCCGCGGTCTGCACTTGTGCATATCCAGACAAGTCTTTAACGGGCCGAGCGTTGTTGAGACGGGGAGTCTTCTGACCACCGGAACCGTACGCAGCCACAGACCATGTGGAACTTGCATTCAATCTGGGGAGGTTCACTATGCAAGTAGTTTCGGGCATCGAAGAACGTTATACAGAGTCGTAGTGAAGTCCATCGTCGTCACATAACGTATCCCAATACACCGCACGTTCGTTGATAGAAGTTCCAGTAGCAAAAGTACTGGGACGCTTCCAACGAAAGTGCCTCTCCCTCCGATCCGGTCGCTGTCGCAAGTTGTAACTGCAGAGACTTGGACCCACATTAAGCCTCTTGCGGTCGAGTACAAGGAACACTCTTCGACGCAGCGACAGGAACAGCGAACGCGGAAAGTGCGGCGTAAGACGTTGATCTTGCGGAAGTGAGAAAGGCGGATTCCGGCTCGAGGACAAGTGTTAAGGCTATTCAGACGGAGAAACAGCCGAATATTCTGATTGGCCTTTGGGTAAGTAGGTAAGACAGCGGAGCTGAACCTTCGCTCAGACATCCTCCAAGGTGATTGATGGCAGCAAACAAGACATCTGATCCACCGATAAGGTTCTGCAATGCACAGCATGGCTACCGGGAGTCTGCCTGCATTTCTCGGTCCTCGAAGCGTTTGCATGTCCCTCGAAACAAGCGCTGAGCTCTGTGAGGACCCCAACATTCAAGCGTTGAGGGCCTTCTGAATCCTGACGTCAGGGTCTCAGACAGAATGCAAGCATGTGCGAGTCAGACTGTGCCTAAGCTATTATTGAAAACCCGATGAAGAACACTTCCAAACGAGCGGGAAGTTAAACAGACGGCATTTAAAGGGTGTTTGTAAGGACAAAAGAAAGTGTGACGAGCGGAGACCCAGAGAGTAAGCGAATGACGTGATCAACGAGAAGTGCAGGTGCAAAACGCTGTCGCGTGTTGATGACAGCAAGCACTCGATGTTGCAGCTTGTAGATGTAAGTATTGCGTTTCGTTTCTATTCCTTAATCGTGCCCTTCATGCTCTGTTTTCCAAAGCTGTCCCATATGTCCGCATTCCACTCGCTGCTCCCGCTGCCTTGCCCACCTTGCGCAAGCAGTATACGGTATGGCTCACCCATGTACAGTGGCGATATGGCGCGGTATGCGATCGACTTGGGAGCTGCCTCTGAGCTCCCGCCCTTTGCTGTGTCCCTCCAGAAGTCCAGCATGTTGATCAAATTCAGCGGCCCATGCACAACGCAGGTTCTGTGTCCTTCAACCTCTCTACACCACTCTGGCGAGAAGTGAATCTTGTGTCCATTGAAAGTCAACGCGGAGAATCTGAATAGTGTGACATCTGACTGGCAAAAGTCTCGTGTGTGATGACCGGATGGGAGCGCCTTCTCCCCAGGTTTGGCAGGGAGGGCCGAAGGATTCTCAAGTGTAATCTCCTTCTGGAAGACCCAGTTCCTCTTGTCTACGAGCGCGATGCCCCTATCGTTCTCGAATGTCTTTTCTACACCAACCACCAGCATCTCTCCACCGCTCTTGAGCTTCTTTGGCTCTGCTGATAAGAGCTTCGTGGTTTCGCGCACCTCCTGGCCTACCCTCAGCAATTCATTGGCGTCTTGCGCCCATGTCAATTCGCCGCCAGCCCACATACGTCTTGTATACGGCGAAAGAGGATTGACAGTACGATCTGTGCCATCGAGTCCAAGCTCAGATTCGATAATGCTTGGTGTGAAGTAGGCGAGATGGTATCCGGGCGGTACAGGGGTACCTTCTGGCGGTGGATTGTTCGACGTTGGAGTACGATTCAGTGTGATGCTCAATAACTGTAATTGATTCGCATCTAGGATTTGCTTTCTGATCGACACAGGCTTCCCATTGCCAAAGCGCTTGAATATCTCCTCGCTTGCTTCTGCGGCAGAAGCCCGCCGATGCGTGGTAGTTGTGAAGAGGCGACGCGCAAGGTGAGCCATGTTGCGATTGACAATGCTATGCAATGTGAAGATAGAGAACACGGTTGGTTGCGTTGCTTGCAAGAAAGCTCGGCATGCAGGCCGCGTCGGTAACGTGCTGTCGCTGGCATAGCCGACTCGATAACGTCATCTCTTTACACAACCCACACGAAGGAAGCCGCGCAGGTGCGCCATTACCAAATGCAGACTGTGCCATCTCAGAACTGCACTACATGCTCATAGATCATTTGGTAGACTACCATCACTACCATCACCCGCGCACATCTGATGAGAGTTCAACCTCATGAGGTCCAGCCTCCGTATTTGGGTGCTGCCGAGCCGCTAGCCCACACGCAAGTTAAACGGCTACATCCCCCTCCTTCCGGCAACTCAGCACCCCCAGCATGATGGATTACGACCGCGGAGACGAGCGCCCGAGGAAAAGGGCCAAATTGGCGTGTACGAATTGCAACGCGCGAAGGGTCAAGTGTGACGTGACCAATCGCCAACCATGTCGCAATTGCGAAATGGCACAGGCTGTTTGTGAGACGCGCGAGTCAAAGCGCGGCAAGCATCCACGAAAGTCAAAACGGGACAGTAATCTTGACAAGCGCAACAGGGTTGCTGCACCGGGGTATGTTTTGAAGCCAGTAGGAACTGACAGTGCGCTGACTGCCTCAGGGTCAAAGTTGACATGACCCCTCCTGAAAGACACGAGGATGACATTGCCGCATCACACGTGCTAGCGTCCCTGTCAACAAAGTTTCACAGCCCTGCAGAGAATCAAACTGCAAACAACAGTATCGACTTCCAATTCGCCACCCCTCGTGCCCGTCAGGACTCGCAAGCCGGCCTCTTGCAGATAGGGGTAAGTCGACCGGAAGACGATGCCGCTGTGTTTTTAGGAGAGTCCAGCTCGCTTCGATACGTGACTGAAGAAGAGGCACCAGCCCCAGCCGTTCGCCCTCGACTACGCCATTCTGTACCCAATGCCGTGAAGGCAGAGGCTCTTGTACCAGAATGGGAGGCTGAGAGACGCCGCAAGCGCATGGAAGCACTACAAGCAGAAGGGGCGTTTTCTTTCCCCTCCAGCGATGTCCGCATAGCACTACTCAAGGCGTTCTTCCAGTGGTTCCATCCTCACTTTGCTGTTGTCGACGAAGCAGAAATTTGGAAGTCGCACCGTCAAGGAACCATCTCGCCCCTTTTATTGCAGGCAATGCTCTTTATAGGCGTCATCCACTGTGAAGAGCTGACGCTACGCAATCTGGGATGGGGGAATCGTCATCGGGCCCGATATATCTTCTACATTCGCGCCAAAGATATTTACGACGCATCCTACGAGACAAACAAGTTAATTGTCCTTCAAGCTGTATTCTTGATGAGCTTCTGGCGCGCCGGTGCGCTTTTGGAGAAGGATGCTCGGCATTGGCTGTCGGTTGCTATAAGCTTGGCTCAAACCAAGGCACTCCATCGCGCCACAGGGGACACTGACGAAAAGTCCGCAAGCCTCAAGCGTCGTATATGGTGGGCAATATATGTCAGGGAACGCCAATGTGGCTCAGCACTTGGTCTTCCCAACCGTATCCGCGACGAGGACTGCGACGTCGAATCTCTCACAACCGTCGATTTTGAGCATGCGTACCTCCCAACAACATCACCAATCGATGCAGAGCGATACAAAGACTACGGAGTGGGCATGGTACAGCTTGCTTTATTTCTGGGCAGGATTGTTGACGCTGGTTATCTACCGAGCCGAACCCTGAAGCCTGAAGATCGCGCTCAGATCCGAGACGAACTCTACAAGTGGAAGCAGGACCTCCCACTTGTGATGCAAGTCTCAGTTGATACTGGAGATGATCCCAGCTTTCAAGCCAGCATGCTACACCTGGCGTTCAACAATCTGCTGATGCTCCTGTACCGATCTAATTTTATCAATGACGAAGACGGAAGCGCAGACATCGAGGGCAACATCGCGCTACAGGCCGCCGCCCGCAACTCTCGCATCGTGGAAGACATGTTACCACGCGCCAACATTGGCCATGCACAGATACACGTCATCACTAACCTGTTTAACACACTCTGTATACACGTCGCCCATCTCAGGAGGTCCTCAGGCATCAATCGAACGTTGGCCGAGCACCGTGCGAAGCTGTGCCTGCTAGGCCTACAGGAGCTGCAGAAGACATGGGAAGTCACCAACTGGGTTTTGCAGCTCTTCTTTCAGTACCTCGACCGCTCCACCGCAGCGCGCCTCGCCATGGAAGCGGATGACATCGGTATCTCGAGCGTAGCAGCCCCTAGCGGGCATGCAACACGTGCATCTACACCTCTCACACAGCACGGCCATGATGTAGACGCCAATGACATCGATGCAATGATCACGATGCAGCAAATGAGTAATCAGCAAAACGATACCGGCACAACACCATGGTCGTGGACGACCGACGAGGCCAACCAATACCTGTTCTCGCAAATCGAAAACGATTTTGCGTTTGGTGAGGGCGGTATGCTGCAATGGAGCCCGAACGATCTCATATGCAGTGTTATGACGCCAGACTTCGGATTCAATGACCTGCATCCTCCCGAGAATGGGGATCTGCCGGAATCTTGAAACAATATTCCGAAGCTTCGAACCACCACAAACTTGAAATTATATGAGAATCCTGCCGAATAGCCTGACTTCCTCCCGACTTTCGAGCGCCGAAGATCACAAACACACTGTTCTGGCGTATATCGGGCGGGAGATGCGTTGGAAACTACTGCAGATTATAGAGAGGGACTCCGTCCATACGCGTTCTATTAGATGTCATGAGGCCTAATAAGGAGAGTTGGATAGCTCTCGCGCCTTGTAAAATATGGACGCTGCGTCCAGTCTCACTCAAAGGTAACCCACCGATGCCATGTGCAGAGTGCCCAGGTCCATAAACAATGCAATGATCTTATTATCTTATTTGACAGGTATATTTGTTTTCCGGACGCTCAGCCCTCGTAATGTTTCGTTTCGTAAAAGTCATCCTCGTACCTCCGAATGTCCAATTTCACTTACGCGGGAGGAGAAGTGGGCTCGGGAACGCCAGGAGGGCAGTGCCAGTGGTCGTCGTGAGGAGTGCAGCTGGCAGTCGCAGCAGCCGCAGCGGAAGTAGCGCTAATAGCAGCAGAAGCAGCAGAGGTAGCAGCAGCAGTAGCGGAAGCAACAGCAGAGGTGGCAGAGCTAGCCGCCGCGCTCGAAGTGGGCGCCGCAGCAGCAGTAGAGGAAGAAGCTATCTCACGGTAGTGGCCGGGGCATCCAACGCCAGGGACAGCGACATCGTGAGCGTAAACCTCGAGAGCGAAGTACTGCAGGGTGTCGGAGTTGCGGACAGCCTCGTTGGGGCTGGATCCGGCGAGAGCCAGGACGCCGGGGTACTCACTTGCGTCGCCGTAGTGCTCGACGATGCCCTCGCCGACCTTGGGGATATGAAGGAGGCGGTGCAGAAGGTCAGACGCCCAGTAAAAGTTGGTCGCGCCGTTGGCGACGTCGTAGCCGAACATGCACATGCCCTCGAGAGGACGGCGGAGGACGTACGAGCGGTCACAAATCACAGTCTCGGAGGTGGCGTTGGCTCCGCGCCAGTGGCCGGCCCAGTCTGTTGATATTGTCAGTAAATTGAGTGTGAAGAGGAGGACGGGTTGGACTCACTGTTCTGGGTGGCGCAGTTCTGATCGGGGTCATCGCAGCGGAAAAGGACATCGGCCTTGTCGCCATCGACGATCTTGGTGAACCAGCCAATGGGCTCGCCAGTGGGAGCGTTGCCGAAGTACTTCTGGTAGATGGCAGAAGAGTTGCCCCAGCGGAGAATATGGTCGCGAGCCTGACGGCAGAGGGTGATGGTCTCGTCAAGACCATTCCTGATGTACTGGTGCTGAGTAGCATTGCAGGAAGCGTGGATGGGGAACTGGTGGATCGCACCGGCGTCCCAGGCGGTGGAGGTAGCAGCCGTAGGGTCAGCAGTGACGGTGACGGTGGTAGCCTGGCGGGCAACAAGAGGTGAGGCTGAGACAGCCGCGGCTCCAAAGAGCATGAGAGATGTGAAGCGAGCCATTGTGGATAGAGGTGGTCCAATTAAGGTGTCAGTGATTGACAAGTTGAAACCTTGAGCGTAGCAAAGATGCGAACTGGTGTTCAGCAAAGCTGTTCCGGATGTCTGGATGGGGAATCTTGTAGACGGCGTGTCACCTCTTTATACAATCCGATTCCATGGACCGTAAGCCTGGTAAACAGCGCGCAAGTTCTTCTCGGTACTCTTCCACCGAAGCGGCCCTGCTTCTCTCAACGCCAAGACTCCATGGTATGCGCCTCAATGCTACATCTATAGGTCTATCACCACCTCTGAGGTCACTTTTTCGAGCTAAGAAGGCAGAAGAGCGATCTATTTCTTGGCTCGCGGCTCGTTTAGCGTGGGTTCTCGCATGGTTGAGCCACTGCTGCAGGCCTGGTAGGCCTAGCTTACGAAGTTTCTCCGTGCGATGCTCGTTCGAATATATCGAGCACCATGATGGTCTACCAGTGGCAAGATTTTCACGCCTTTAAGAGACAAAGCGTCGGTAGGAGTACCTGCGTTAGGAAAAGTCAAGGGCCTGATTGCATAGAGCTGCAACTTTCCGCAGCATACCTCCACGAATGTGTCATGGTGGTCAGCAAAAGCAAGTCGAGGCTGAGTATCTCGGGACACGGTACTTTGAGTATGCTTGCGGCTTGTTTTGCCGCATTTTTGGCAGTGTCCGCAATGCGTCTTGCACATGGCGAACATGGCAACCTTCGCTGACAGTGGCGCAGTTATGTATGCACAGCGTCCGTTCACAAGACAGGGTATACCACAATATCTCGAATGTGACGTTCTTCGGAGGAGTCCACGGGTACTCCAGCCACCCCACGTTCGTAAGTTACCAAACGTTCACCCGCCAAGCAAAACCAAGACACGTCCCGGAAGCTAAGACCACGCCACGGACCCGCTCCTCTGAGTAGAGGGTACTCGGAATAGACGTTGATCTACCACTTTGTTGCTTAGATTTGCCTTGTGATAGTTACCAGGACGCGGCGGTGTGGTCGGGTTTTGACACTTGGCATGCGTGTTCCACGGTTAAGTTGATGGTCACAGGACCCTTCAAAGATGATTATCTAAACCTCGAATCCCTAAGTCCTCAAAGCCTCGAAACCCGCATCTCTGTCCAACTCTTCATTCGACGATAAAGTGGACTCCGCCGTACTTGGCAACCTTGGCCTTGTCCATCACAGTGCTCAAACATCCACCCACGCCAAGCACCTGCCATTTGGACGGCGGTTGAAAGATTTTGCAGCACGCATACTTTGCCGCTCTAACACGGCAGTTCTCAGCTGAAAAATCGTGCCGCAAAACCGTCCAAGACCTTCCTAGTCGATATAATAAGGTTGCGTTGCGGCTCGAGTGCTCGAGTCCGATACAACTCACCCGCCCGGCGCGCCTGTCGTAACACACAAGATCCAACATGGCCCCAGTCATCCGCCTTACCGCTGCTCTGGCTCTTGTGGCATGTGTTGCTGCGCAGAACCCTGAGGATTTCAACCCTAATCCCAACCCCAACGCGGCTGTCGCGACTTCAACGGCTTCTTCGACTACCGCTGTCGCGGGCTCTGCCAGTGCCGCTGGTGCTCAGACTGTGACCGTCACTGCAACAGCGACCATTACACAAGCCTCTTCTGCGGCACCGGCTATCACCATTGTGTCCGACTGCCATGCCCACGAGACGGTCAAGTAAGTCGACACCTTGTACATACTTCCCGATCAATTTCGGCGCTAACTTACAGCAGCTGGTGCATGGTTGGTACCGAGGAGTACCAGATAGTCGGACCTACGGCAACGGAAGAATTCCAAGCACAGTACACCGACTGCCATACGCATGGTTCTGAGACGTGAGTACGATTGTCAAATGACCCCGAGACCCTACTGATCCCAGTCTAGATACTGCGTTGACGATGCTGGTGGAGACGTCAAGGTACTCGTGGAGTCGACCGAGGAAGATTCCCACGCCGACGAGACGTCTGAGGAATCTGCTGGAGCTGAGGAGAACTGCCATTTCCACGCCGGTGTTGAGTAAGTCTCCCAAGAACCTTGCTGAGACCAGCGACTAACAGTCCATAGGCACTGCGTGGGCGGAAGCGAAAGCGAGGTCTCCTGCGATGCCACTCCCCGCGACTACAACATCGGTTTGCGCATCGGTCTGCTTTTTGTCATCATGGCTACCAGCGCCTTCGGCGTCTTCATGCCCATCCTGACGACCCGCTTCAACATCATCTCGCAGACGAACATCATCTTCGTCATTCTAAAGCAGTTTGGTACCGGTATCGTGCTGTCGACCGCGTTCATCCACCTCTTCACCCACGCCGAGCTCATGTTCGGCAACGAGTGTCTGGGTGAGCTGCAGTACGAAGGGACCACCGCTGCCGTCTTCCTCGCCGGTCTCTTCCTGTCCTTCCTGGCCGACTACCTCGGCGCGCGCTTCGTGCAGTGGCGCCAGAAGAAGCACGCCTCCACCGACAGCGAGACCAGCACATCCACAAATGGCAGCGACAAGGCCGTATCTGCAGCCAGCAAGTCCACGCCTGAGAACGAGCTCGGCCACGGCCACGGCTCTCCTCATGCCCACGGCGCCCTCCAACAGGCGACCCCGATGGAAGAGAAGATCAACGTCATGAACCTGGAGGCCGGCATCATCTTCCACTCGATCCTGATCGGCATCACACTTGTCGTAGCGGGCGACTCGTTCTTCATCACGCTATTCGTCGTGATCCTATTCCACCAGATGTTCGAGGGCATAGCGCTGGGGACGTGCATCGCAGAGCTGCCGCGGGCCGCGGCGTCGACGCTTCAAAAGTGCATCATGGGCGGGACGTTTGCGCTTATCACGCCCATTGGGATGGCGATTGGGATCGGCGTGCTGAACTCGTTCAACGGGAATGATCCGTCGACCATCGTTGCGATTGGAACGCTAGATGCGCTGTCCGCGGGCATCCTGGCGTGGGTTGGCATCGTCGAGATGCTGGCCCGCGACTGGATGCATGGCCGCCTGCTGAACGCGGGGGTTGGCAGGTCCGCGGCGGCCATGGTCGCGCTGGTGTGCGGGCTGGTGCTGATGAGCGTGCTTGGGAAGTGGGCGTGAGCACACGCGACGAAGAGCTGTAGACGAGAACGACAACCAGAATGATAGCCGGAATGATAGCCGGAATGATAGCCGGAATGAATTACTACTTTGACGCCCATCTCGTTCAGAAAGCGGGAGTGATTACACGGCCGGCTTGACCACATAGCCGACGCGCGGAAAATGCAGCCGAATCCCGTTCTCCAGCTCGACAACAACCTCCCTGCGATCCGCGCCCACCAGCCGGCCCCGCTGCGGATGCCTGCCCGGCTCCGTATCGCTATTCTCAACCGTGACGAGCGTGCCGGCCCCAAGGCCCAGGGGATCCGCCTCGTCGACGCCGATGTCGCGCGCCGTGTACGCCGCGCCCTGCACCGCGTCCCACACGGCTTCCGCACCCAGTTCGGTGTACGTCGGCGTTGGCCACTGCGCAATCCACTTGTGTATGCGGGGGAACTCGCGCTCCGAGAACCCAGGCTCCTGCGCCAGGCCAATGGCCCTCAGACTCCAGCCGACCGCCCAGCCGGCGTGCAGATCCGCGAGGCCGAAGGAGTCGCCCGCGATGAAAGGGCCCGGGGCGAGGAACTCGCGCTCGATGACGTCGAAGCGGGCGCGCATCTCAGCGAGCCCGCTGGGGCGGAGCGCGGGGTACTCTGGGTCCGCGAGTGCGGGGAAAATGGACAGGCGGTCCTTGATGAACTCGGGCGTCAGCGCGGCGGCGGGAACGATGCGCAGCGCGCTGGCGAAGAGTTGCGTGCCGAAGACGTCGAACGCGGCGTCGGCGGGCGTCGTGCGCAGACCACCGTAGCGCGCTTGCAGCTCCGCTAGGATCAGCGAGGTGTCGGCGTAAATGTCCTTTCCCAGCGCGAGCAGCGGGATGCGGCGGTACGTTATGTCGAGCTTTGCGAGGATGGGGCGCGGGAGCACAATGGGCTGGTTGGAGCGCTGGAAGGCAATGTTGGAGGCGGCGAGGGCGGCGCGGATTTTCTGGCCATAGGGGGAGAAGTCTGCGGCGTCAGTTCTGCAGAGAATAGAGGGGCGAGGGGAGTGGTGCCGTAGTCAAAGGTGATTATCGGGGCGGTGGACATGGTCGCGGCGACTTTTGGCTCGGTCGGTGAGTCTCGCTGGTCGTGCTCGAGGGGGGAGGTCAGGCAACTCGACCTCGGTGTGTATGCCCACGACCTGTGGCAGCATCGCTGCTTATATCTCGCGCTTCTCGCAGTAGGTAGCCGGACCCTTCACCCTGTGGGCTTCAGCGGGGTAGCCTTGATCTGATTGCGCCAGATCCATGGCGTCGGCCTCTTGTCCGAGCGTGCGAGTGTCGTCATCCAACCATGTTGCGTCTTCTATTTGTCAATTCCATCTGGCCATGATGTTTTGGGAGCAGTCGTGGTGAATCAAGGGGTCTCGACGTCTGGACGCGCCGTTGCCGAGCACGCCATGTGGGGAACAACATGATCGTCATGTAACCGAGATGACGGCACCAGCGGGGCCGATGCGCGTTTCGCGAGGCGACATCCAGCAGCGAATGTATCAACGCCGAGGCGCTATTTGCTAAGAGCACGACGGCTGTGGGCGCGGTGTTGTTGGCGCAGGTGCAGTATCACGGGACTATGCATGGGAAAGTCTGAGTGGTTAGCTGGAAGCAGTCGATCTGTGAAACGGTGGAAGCCTGAGATGGAGAGTAGTATTTGGGCAGTCCCTGCCGTTCACAGTAAACCGCGCCCTATCCAAGGCCCAACGCCAACAGACCCCCCTCCCCATCATCCAGGCCGCCTTGCAGCCTTCCGCTCCGGCTTCCTAGTGCGCCTTGCCCGTCACGGGGCACACGGCATCCTTCGCCGCTCCCTCGACGCTGGGGTGCGTGACGACCTTGCTCTTATGGTGTCCGACGGTCGCCTTGGTGACGGGGCAGACATCCTCAGGGCCGGCCTTCAGCATGTCCGGGTGATCAGGCGGCAGGACCGTGGTCGCGGTGCCGACGACGGGGCAGAGGCCGTCATCGAGCTCCTGCGCCTGGGGCTCGTTGACGGCCTTCTTGAGCGCGGGGCACGATGTGGCTTCGTTTGAGCGTTGCGGGATATTCGGGTGCTTGTCGAGGTTGTGGTGGTGGTCTGTGGTCGCGCCTACGACGGGGCACTGTGCGTGTCAGTATGGCTTGGTTTTGGGAGGAGAAGAGTCGAGTCCCACCGTCTGGCCGTCGACGTTGAGGTCGACCTCCGGGTGGTTGGGCGGGAGGACGCTGTTGGCGGTTCCGATGACTGGGCAGGTCGCCATGTTGTGTGATGTGCTGAGTGTGAGTTGTGTGTGAGTGTACGTTACGAGCGGGTGAGAAGCTTTTGTGATGAGGGAGGAGTGAGGCTCTCCTTAACGTATCCGTCTCGAGCTACCCACTTCCCCAGGTTTACCAGACCCTATGGTTGTCTAGCATCGAGTAGCGTGACGTAAACCTGCGCCTTGTTTGGGGCGGCTTCATTCCTGCACGTCGCAAAAAGAGGCTTTGTTGGCCGTTGGATCATTGCTCTTACAACTCATTCATATGCTACATCGCTGCGACACACCAAAGACCCTCTCTTTGTGGCAAGCATGTTCATCATTGTTGTATTTGTTCCCCAGTTGAGCTCCAGGGAAGCTGCAACAGATGCGGTGCGAGGAGCAGGCACTAGCGCATGGTCACAGCCAATGAGCGGTATCATAGTAATCAGCGTACAACGCTTATTAGGTGCGTCATGATTGGCCGCACCCACTGGCCGTTTCTCGTGCCTTACATGTCTTGCCCTGGTTGGCCCAGGTAGGTATGTTGCTCGTCCAGCCTCTCGCTAATTCCATCCCCTGTCTGCACTTGAGCAACGTGCTCCCAAATCATATCAACCGCAAGGACAAGCTATTCAACGCCTACCATTACCCTGCTTCGTGACAATGTTTTCATCGCAATGCTGAACCTTGCGCTCCCTATTGAAATTAAACAAGCATCCGGTGACGAGGTAGGGTTGCCTGGACAAAGAGACAACGCACCGACCAAATAAAGGGGGCAACGCTATTCGGACGCACGCTATACACCCCTCTGCGGAGGTCGCAGTTCATCAGTACCACGCATGTCTTTGCAAAGAGAGATCGCAGTGAGCCGACAGTGTCAGTCACAAGGATATTCGCGTGGTATTAGGGAAGATGTGCCGCCAACGTGCCCGCTGGACCTTGGCGATCACGTTTGCAAGGCGGGTGTGGCAATGACTGGACTGTGGAGGATGACACGAGCGTCCTTTTGTAGATATGCGCAGGCCTTCTTGCAAAACGCTAGCTTCTGTAGTCCTTATAGGGGCGATTCGGGTCCCTAGAGTATTCAGCGCAGTGTGTTGGGTCAAATGTTGTGCGCCATGAAAAGTCGAAGTATTAGCCTTCTTATATCTTCCAGACCTATAGTAGCTAAGGGAAAGCCCCACCGAAGGCGTCGTTGTATCGATCGCCCGTCGATCACGTTGGCCTGAACAAGACTGTAAATATTCAGTGCCACTAGGAGGCCAGTTCCACTAGAAATCGCCCACTGCATCAAGTGGATTGGCAGCACAACTGCGACCCAGGAACAAAGATACGACAGATAATCATGTAGGTGATGCGCGATTAGCAGCACGAACATGAACATACAGAAGAGGGTCGTGACTCCCAAAAGAATGTCGAAGGTGCGGTACTGTGGTGCCCCGGTGCGTAGAATTCTCTAAAGTGCGTCGTCGGCGACCCCCGGTGGGAAGAAAGGCGAGAATACGAAGGAGATCACTGTACGGTATCTAACTATTGATCATTGCTGACTCAGCGGCTGGCTGGAGAGGCGTAGTACAGTAACCCTACGGGCACCTTGCTCCCGGAGGTGTCGTTGCGTTTGGCTGATCGATCCAACTCAGAAAGCAAGCGCGGCCGACCAAGTGCTGACAGGGCTTTAAGCGCGTGGGCTGCACCCAGCTGTCATCCTCATATCCGCATAGAATGGTTCTTTACAGATGAAACCTCTTCGTCCGAGGAGGTGGGTTCGCTTAGTGTGCAGATATAGTCGTTCTTGTAGGAAGGAAGGAGCACCCGCTGCACAGTCCAGTGAGTGTGAATTCTCGTGTTTCTTGCGCAAAGCGTGTGAAACTGGCATGAATGTCTTGTGCGAAACGTGTGCAGAATCTACGGACGTCTCGTAACCGGTCAGTACCAATGTCGCCTGTTCTCTCCTCGAGTTTGATCTTCTGGTCGAATTCTGCGTCCATATTTCGATTGCTTGCGTCAAGTCGGTGTTATATGAGATAGCTGCTGTGAACTACATATCAATATTCATAGGCGAACCCGTCGTGCATCAACTGCCTTGCAATAGCAGCTGCGGGAGCTAAGTATGTTGTCCAGATCTGATCCATGATTCGGATTTGATACCCTGAGAACCGGCCATGCCGCCTCGTCCATGTCAAGACGCGTCAGTTTCGACACGTACAGAGCTGCCCCCGTGGGAAAAGCAATAGTTCGGATTGTCACGTATACTTTCAATTCAACGTAGGCACAGGAAGAACCGATCCGTATTAATTTCTGCGCTGAAGGTTCGTGAGCGAAAAATGTTGATCCCGGGACGCACATTTCTAGGGCTGTGCTACATTGTCGGCTATGAGACCCTCGGAAGATGTGGGTATAAGAACGAGAATGCCTTGTCGCAAAAGAAACATGGAAGCTAATCTTACGCTGCCGAGATCGATGTTCCGGTGAAGCTGTACGCATCGCAGCAATATTCGCTGCCAAGCCTCAAATCACGTCGAATCACGTCATTCCGTCTTTTCGCGCCCCACCAAAACCAGCACAGCCGCGACTGCCCGAACGCTCGCCGATGACCCTCGAATGTTTTTGATGCGAAGGCATAGTCGACACAAAGCGACGAGCCGAGCGCTACTATAGCCAATGGCGGATATTCCTGTGTTACCAGGTTCGTGTGCGAAGAAGCAGCGAAGACGTCCTGTCAACGGTATTACTATACGCAATCCTTTTGTGGCGGATCCCGGCTAATCGGAGATCAGCTTGTGCGACCTGTCGAGCGAGAAAGGTATGTCGCGTTTCACATTCACCATTGCTCCCCATTTTTGAATGGAAGCATCGCGGAAAGTCCGTGAAGTCTGCACGATGTTTTGCCTCCGTTCGATGTACATGGGACACATATTGATCCAACATAGGTCAAGTGCGATGAGCGACCAGACGGATGCCTGAACTGCGAGAGGCTGCAGCTGAATTGCGTCCAAAATGGTGGCCTCACTGCCGGAGTGAAGAGATCGAGTGTTGCACTAGAGCCTCTCGGCATCAAAAGAAAACGCACGTTTCGCTCATGCGTGGCATGTCGAGACTCAAAAGTCAAATGCTCAGGCGAGCGGCCGACATGTACACGTTGCGCACAGCGGATGGCTACATGTGTATACGATGCAGAGACAAACGAACCTGCTTGGGTGCAGAGCATTGTATCAACCACGGTGAGCGCCGTCACAAGTCCAGATACAACCCTCTCAACGCAAGCTCAACAAATACCGCGAAACGCGGCGTTCTCATCGACACCAACGGATCTGGCTAATGTTGATTGCCCGCCCGGGTTGACCTGGTAGGTTGCATCCATCATTCAGTCAACACCGCTGATCAGTTCCAGGCTCTTTTCACAGGAGCTGCCGCCTAGAGCACGCTTGCATACCCTTCTCGAAGCCTACTTCAACAATGTTCAACCGATCCGTGTCTTTGCATTTGAGCACAAGCCAACCTTCATGCGCATGCTTGATGAGGAGCAGCTCACTGATACATCAGACCAAGCCTTACTGCACATCATGTGTGCCCTTGGTGCAAGGTTCTATGCTTTAGAGTACAGCGAGTCATTTGCGCCATTGTCGAAGGAATTGATACAAAACGCTGGAACACAGTGGGCCAAGACTGCAGAAGAGATGTTCTTCGCTGACTATAGCACCATCTCAAAAACAAAGCTGAAGGTTCTCATTCTGCTCCATGATCAAGAAGCCAGGACCGGAAACTATGCTGGGTCGTTTCTGCTCACTGGCCTGGTGATACGCATGGCACATGCACTGCAACTCAACAACGAAGCATCTACGGATATCATGTGCAAAAAGGACGGTCCAAACGAAGCTTCCTCAAGAGAATGTCAAAGACGGCTCATGTGGGCCTGCTACATGCTCGATGTATGGGCAGGCAGTGGTGTCGATCATCTGACCATCTTGAACGAAAAGGATATCAAGATTCAGCTCCCCTGTAACGAGCGTCAATTTTTGCTCCAGATACCTGTAGTAACTGAAAGACTGGAAGAGGGCGCAACGTTGGACTTCATACCCATAGCCGACATGCCGGAGAAGCCTCGAGATAATCTCGGCATGGCAGCGTACTATGTTCGCATCGTTAGCATATGGCGGCGAGTTCTGAGGTACGCTTTAAAGGTCAACCCTATAACCACGCTGACAATCAAGGTTCTCGAAACACATGAACGAAGAGCAACCGCCCTGGGAGCCAGGCTCGGAATTTTCGCAGCTGATCAAAGAAGTCCAGTCTTGGAAAGCTAGCCTGCCCTCCTGGCTGGACTTCTCTGCCGACAACATCTACATCAGACGAGAGTCCCACCAACTTGGAGCTCTCTTCCTCAATCACTGCATGTATCATCACGTGCTGTGTGATATTCATCGAATCGCGTTACCTGACCTGTACCGAAATCAACAACCCTACAACTTCCCTCCAGAGCAGCATGCCTTCATGTCAAGGCTGCAGATGATCTGTTTCGAGCATGCTCAGCTTATGTCTGTTCTAGTGGCGACTGTCCTTCAGCATGGCATCAAGCACTTTGCAGACCCCATCCTGCCGTCGTTCGTGTACAACAGCAATCGCATAATGCTGTACCACATCGCTCGTATTCTGGATCTTTCCAAGTCGGACGCAAGGACGGTGATTGCGCGTACTGTAGAATTGGTACAGCATAACAACAAAGCTCTACGAGAGATGTCATTGATGTACCCGCTCGCAGAGCCTCTGTATATCACAACGGAACGCTGGCTAGAGACCGTTCGCTCTGGTCTTGCACGTGGTCAAGCAAGCACATACATTGCGCCGCAAGATCCAGCGGAGGTGCGAACCGAAGTGCAACAGGCTATCGAAGCCTCCAGTCCGAACCTGAATGACATCCAGTCAGCTCAACGGAATGCCCAAGTAGCGTTGCTCCCGCCTGTTTCTAATGGCTTGGATCAATCACCGTCGACCGCAAGCGACTACTACCCAACACCGTCGGCTGACCCCATGGCATCAAGCCTTGCGACACTAGCCGACGTTGCGACACAGCCTGGGCAGCTTGGCCCAGTTTTACCAAACGCAATGTCCATAAGCGATTTCGACCAACCGGTCTTCAATCTGGATGATCTCCAGAACTTCTTCGAATGGGAAACGAGCAATAGCGAGTATGCGCAGCTTACCGGTTTTGAAGGGTTTGGGCCATTAGGCTGGGCGAATAACTTCTCCGCAATGTGAGCCAAGGGTCGAGAAATGCGACCCTGGAAAGTGCCGTTGACCCCGCGAATCTGGCGAGTCTGCACGCACAGTACCACTCTGCACGTTAGTGCTTCGGTCTGCTGACTCATCGTGGTACGAAACCAGCAAAGGGTCAGTACCACATGGACATCTGGTCGATTGCCTGCACAATTAAGATCCAGAGATGTGATTGAGCCATATCGAGCAGATGTCCCGTCCGCTCAAGTATCGATCTCTACTACCCGATACATCTAACTCTGTGTTTGACACTCATGACGGCTCTCATACGATCTTCATTCGCGATGGCGAAAGCCGACCACCAGAATCCCTTGGCTGCGACCACGGCCGTGGAGTTTGAACACGAACTTGAAGTCATTACATGGGTATTATTCTCAATTCTGGTCGTTTGCATACTCTCAAACCTGATCTATCTTTTGTTGTCACACGACTGGGTTTGGTCATTGGCTCGCGAGGATCTCAACGATTACTACTACGAATACTCTACGTCTTTGGAAGACGGCGATGTTTGCTGTATCTGCCAGGAGGACTTCAACGACGCCTCCAACGACTTGAAGGAGCTTTGTGCTCCTATCCTGCTCAACCCTTGCAATCATGGTGTTGGTGACAGGTGCTTCTCACGCTGGATTACGAGTTCCGACAATACCCGTTTCGCAGGCAAAGTGCGTTGCCCATACTGCGCACAACCGTTGGCTCGGAAACCGCAGTCATTATATCGGAGAACTGTACGAATCATAAGGAGATTGATAGCCACCATCAAGTCATCTGATCTTGCGATGGTTCTATTGGGTTACAGTCGCGTTCAGCAGCCCGTCCCGTTGCTGATTGACCCTGCTGTAGGACTGCGTTTGCTGCGCAGCATTGCCCAACATGCTACGCAAATTCTTGGAGTGGCCTACGGGGTACTATTTGTATGGACAACAGTCGCGATGCTTGCACTCACGATGATTCACATCTGCAGATCGCCCGACTTTTCTGATGTGCTGTTCCGTTTTGCTGGGATGCAGTATTTTGGCTACATTCTGGGAGCCTTCATGCTGTCAAGTGCGACGCTGATGGTTTTCGATTTACTTCTTGGCAACGAGACGCAATGGGCATGGACAGCATATCTGTATGGTCATTGGTTATGATTGGAGCGGAGGCTCGACATGTTCGTACGTGTATCGTCTCACAACTTCTATGAAAATCTATTTTGCTAATCTCTTTCACTAGAGAATCAACCATGGATTCTCGCCACGGATACGTTCACCAAGAATTTCTTCATCAGGAGTATAAGTTTTACATTCAAGCCCTGATTACATACATTCGCCACACCACTGTGGAAGCACCTACAGACGCGACTGAAGTGCCACAGGCTGGCGCAAAAACTTTCACAGAGAACATATCCAGACTCGCGGGTTGTTTGCAAGATGTCGTGGGTTTGTTGCAGCAAACACCTGAGAGAAATGGACTCATCCACCGCTTTCTTCTGCATCCGTAAAAGCAATCGTTCCTGGTCGAAGACGATGCGGTACGTGTAGACGAAGACGAAGAGTGCTTCATTTGCAAAGATCTTCTCGTTGTTCAGACTGCGCCGTGTATCAACGACCCACCTCCCGACCACGAGCCAGACAAGGAGCCATGACAGTGCCACCCAATCTGCCTCTGGCCATGTTACCACATTGTCGGTGATTTGGACTCCGAGCAATCGATGAGCAATTCTGTAAACTCTGAGGCTGGTCTTTGCCCGTTACGTCAGTGGCCTTTACGGGTAGCACCCGAGACCCAGAACATTGCGAAGACGGTGAAGCGGTACTTTTCCCTGTCACAGATGTCCAAATTACCGGGCCAAGTACTTTACAGCCTGCTTGAACTCCCGATGCAGTCGCTGGAATCTCAGCAGCTCCCTGAATTGGCCCGTTCACTGGCGACCTTGTTTGCAGCGCAGCTGTGGCTCCGTAACCGACTGGGTGGGCCGCTGGCCACCATCTTCCCTAGTTTTCCGATGATGGAGAAGGCTCTAACGTTCTTGAACAGTCTATTATAGCCAGTGGTCAGCGTGTTCTCTTGAGACACGATCAGTCTCTTTCTGCAAATAGTCATGCATGGACTGGAGATTTGTCTGGGACGATGAGCGTTTTATCGAAGAGAGAAGTTCACAACGTATCTGCAAGGTTTATGTACAACTTAATTCATCTAGGAGACTATATGCACAGTGAATCGCGGCACAATCAATTGAATAATTCCGCCATCAACAACATTAGACCAGTTGTAACTACTCCCTTCAGACGTCCAAAAACCTTTATTCAGTAGACACAAATTGCAGACCACAGTCTAACACAATATACTCTAGGGTGTGTCTCCCTTCATGAATGTCCTCAAATCTGCACTTTTCAACAATTCGCTCTCTAGCATCAGCCTGGCTTCTTTCGCCTACCCACTGCCAGACCCGTCGTTCACGATTGACCCCACTGTGTCCACCTCTCATAGCTATGCTAATGCTCAATGACTACTTTAACACAATTTAAAGTTGCGTCTGTTGTGGTGCATGCGAGATGCAAGTGAGACACACTTGCGATCGGCGGAAGCAGGGATGCTGTCTTGGCCACGACAACTCAAAACAGTCCCAACAGGGTCCCCGACACACTATCTTCACGACATTATTTCTCAATTCGACGTTTTCACGTCACATCTACATATGCGGCGTTTGCAAGCGAATTCTGACGGGTGACAGCAGGCAGCTAAGAAAAAGTAACAAGAGGCCGCCACCGCGCCCTAGGACTGTACTGCTCAGTTGACAGAAGCTGCACGCTCACAAAGCACCTACTATGGCGTCTAGCTTTGTTCATATGGTTCCGATCTATACCGCAAGTGGAACGAGCTGCGCTACTTTGTGCTTAGTGTTGAGAGACATGCCCGCCCTTTCCTCAATCGCATCCAGATGCTGGTCAACGCAGTCGAATTGCCCGAAGAGCCAGACGGTAGTCGTAAGGCTAAGAGCAAGCAGGAAACGCTCTATTTATAAGAAGATCCTGCCAACGTCAAGGTCCTGTCAGAAGCAGAGGTCTTCGAACCCGAAGAGTAGAAATGCCTTTCTTCCTCCGATTCCTTAACTGTCGAGAATCAGCTATACAACGTAAAGCCATACACTGATGAAGTAAGATTGAATGCCCTCGCAATGAACCGCAACTGATATCTACACTCAGATGTTTGCACTTTCGGACGACACGATCTTAGGCAACCTCCAAGTCGCCTCAGACCTGTTCAGCTCACTGTATATGAACACGTTCGGCTTCGAGGGCAGTGCCTACAGCACACTACAGTCGCCGACGGAAAGGGATGCAGAACGGTTTGGCGAGAAACCCTTTCTCGTCTTCACCTCATGGCTCTTGACTTTCCGGCTCAATGAACGCAAGCGGAAGGGCCAGGCTCATTTTGGACATTCATTGTCACGTACAGTCACCCGAGACTCGGGAGGCCCTTAAAATCCTCCCGCGCCCAGCGCTTCGCATTACCTTGCACAGGTCCCACGGTGAGACAGGCTTTCAGTTGTACTCCTGGTGTGCTGTTTTCCACTGCACGATCGAGAGAGACCGTGAAGTTCTGCTATGGAACTATACCATGCTCCGTTCCGACAAAGGCGATAACGGGTACCTGTCGTGGAATATGCGCAAGACCATATTACGTGACCTTACAGAAGGCATGAGCAATGACACCGAGGTGTATCGTGATCGACAGTCCTATCGCTTTGGCGATCGACTGGCCCAAGCCGGGCTGGAGGCGCCCAAAGCCAACACGAAGATCCTCCGGACCAGTGTGGATGGGCCTGTTACGATCAAGGACCGTATGTGATGCTTTTGACGCTGACGAGGGTCTTTGACCCGGATTTCCAATTGTTTCATCTGATGCGTAATCACGCAGCCCCGTGTTCGCATCTGCGGTAGTGTACGATCGCATCGCACGCCAATCGCCTCGGTGTCGCGACTGCTTGCTGAAGCTTGTGCTCATTCGACGACGCGCAGGTCTAGGCCTCGTATTGCCTCACCCGGTCAAGAAATCACAACAGCGCGAGACCGTTGCGAAGACGCTCATGAGATTTCAGCACACGATCGTGCAGCCTGATGCTTTCTTATACATGGCGGCAACGCTGAGAAGGCTCCTCATGTTCCGCTCAAGCTGTACATCAAGGTAAGAAGTCGGGTCAAGTCTATTTGGATGGCGATGTAGTGACGAGGATGAGAGTGAGCTGGGGACACTAAAGGAAGTGATGAAGTAGCTGTTCGAGGGACTACTGCCAGAGCCCAGCAGCTTTGAATCACGGACGCTTGCCGTCTGCCATCTGATGAGTTGGGTCTTCGGGCCTGGAAACTCGTGGTAAGGGGCAGGCGCTCAAGGAAAGCTCCGATTGGTCGTTAGTACTCTGACCTATACTTACGCTACCGAGGCCAATGATATGGAACGATCTCAATGATCCTCATTTCCTCACCGTAGCAAAGACGCACCATCAGGACTCAACATATTCCTACGGCGTCCTCAGCATCGCGGCGCGCTTGGAGCTGAGGTTCGCGTTGAAGCCGTTGCTTCTTGGAGCTTGGGATCTCCACTTCGTTCATTAGGTAGGGAGACAAAATTGCCAGCGGACACCCAAACCCTACTTACCCGTCACTGGTCTCGACTACGAGAGGCTGATACGACTGGACCGATGCCTCACAGTCTGCGGGTTGAGTCGCGATGCAAACCGGAGTTTCTCAGCCTCGATGACCCGCTACGAAGTACCGTAAGCTTTTTACGCCAAGCCATTGCCCGCGCTACAGCACGCCCGAATGCAGGGCTGCATCGAGCGTTACAGGGGTGTTATTTCCCCTTTCGCATCCCCTTTACCTATTATGGAGCACACGGCACGTAGCGCTCGTCTACCGTGTTCCTGCACGTCGACCGTCTGTCGACGTCAAGCGCGCACCCAGTTCATGAGCATAGTGGAGCGGTATTGTATCTGCCAAAACTCGAAAAGCATGGCACTCAATCAGCCCTTTCCTGAGGCCATCAAAGAGATGCGAGGTCTCACTGAGCGCAAACAAATCTCTTGAATATAATCATAAATACCCAACAGCTAAAGGGCTGTCAGTAACAGTCACTTAACGTCAGCGATGGCACAACCGACTGCATCAGCGCACGAACCGAACAATGTGGCTTGCATAGGTATGATGACCATCGTATTTTTGAAGCTATCGATTCTGGCCGCCCACGAGCCCGGGCGTCCGTCTGGGACCGTCGGAGCGTGCCCGCTTAGGTGTTCTCGGAAGTTCGAGGTCCGGGATGATCTCTACGCGTCCCCCCAGAACGCCACAAAGCAGCTCTCAGCATCACGCTAGGTCCGACATACCGATCAGCCATTGCGGGTACCTGAACAGAGCAGACCGCACAGTCTTGGCACATCTTCACGAGCTTCGAAAGGGGCCACCGTCGGCTTCTGCATCGACTCAACTCGCAATACCTACGATTGCTCGATCTTCAAGGGTCAAGGGCCAGGGCTGAGAGGAAGGCTTCGGCGAGCAGTCAATCAACTGACAGACATTGACCGTCAGCGATGGAGATTATGAGCGGCTGAGAGTGGTGAGTAGCTGCTAATTACGTCTCATCTTATCAAACCTTCCTCCAAACGTGGGTCCTTAGCTTACCGGCGGGATATACTCTGGGCCAAAAGTGCTATTCCAGCGAACCATTCGGAACTGTCAGAAATCAGGGGTAACACTGCCCTGTGGTGCCCAAGCTTGAAACTCGAAAACATATATGAGGCTGCATCTCTTGCAGCTTTCTGGTCCTTACCCACAGTCGTTTCTTGGACCGATCACTCTTTCGCACTCATTATCTGAGCGTCGACCACACTCTTTATACCTTACCTAAGTCATTCGTTAATTTAATACTTAATCAACATGCGTTACGCACTTATCTTTGCCGGTGTTGCGGCTGCCTACGATGCCTACGGCTCCGACAGCTACCCCGAGTACAAGGCCAGCTCCAGCACCCCGGCCGTCAAGTACTCCACCTCTGCTCCCGCTTACGGTGGCTACGGAGAGGAGCACAAGACTTCCTCGTCTCCTGCTCCTAGCACGACTCCTTGCAGTAGCTCTAAGCTTGGCTACACCACCATCTACCCGGGCTACGGCAAGCAGCCTGTGACTGTTACCTCCCAGTACCAGCCGTACCCCACCTGCGGTGCCGCCGGCTCTGATGGCAAGTCTTGCAACAAGTGGAACGATGACAAGTACGTCTCGACTGTAATCAACGATTACAACTCCAAGAAGGTCACCGTTACCCACGTTGAGAAGCCCATCACCGTCTACCAGACCAAGACCACCATCACTCACTACCCCACCGCTTCTTCTGGTAAGGCATACTCCACTGGCAGCTACGGCTCCTACGATACCAAGAAGAATGCCACCCAGCCGTGGTACGAGATGAACGAGAAGATTCACGAGATCAAGTACAAGGATCTCGGCGCTCACGGCCTGCCTGGCTACGGCGGCTCCGGTCTCTGCAAGACTTGCGACGACGAGCAGCCCTACAAGGTCAAGGAGTACAAGAACGGCAAGTGGTCTGAGTACGAGGCTACAGCCATCTACAAGGCTCCCACTCCTGAGACCAAGACCTACGAGAAACCCGGTGTGTACACCGAGCCCGCCAAGGACGTCACCGTCACCTACACCATCACCAGGCCTTCTGAGGCTACCACCACTGCTAAGGCCGGTGTTCCCGTCACCTACGGTGGCTACACGACCGACTTCAAGTCCACTGGTGTAAAGACTTGCGCGTACGGCGCCTACGAGACCGGCAAGGACAAGAACGGCAACGATGTCACCTCAACCGTTGTCAAGACTGTCACCGTCACTGTCTCTACCACTGGCAAGTACGAGGTCGCTAAACCCACCACCACCGTCTATGCCCACGACACCGAGGTAAAGTACCCTACCGTCTCAGTATACAAGCCCGGCGTTTATCACAAGGACGCTCAGACCGTCACCATCACCAAGTCCGGCGACTCGGCTTCTTGCGAGTACAAGCAGACCAAAACCTACCCCGCCATGCCTGAGAAGACTCCCGCCTACGGCGACGAGTACCCCTACGGCGGAAAGTCTTCCAGCAAGCCTTCCGTCGAGACCAAGACCTACTCTCAGGACTACCCTCACTCGACTCCCGTCTACGGCGATGAGTACCCTCCCTATAGCCAGTCTTCCAGCGAGCCCTCTATAGAGACCAAGACCAGCATCTACTACCCCGAGTACCCTGCAAGCTCTTCCACTCCCGTCTACGACGACAAGAAGTCTTCCAGCACTCCTTGCCCGAGCTCCTCCAAGCCCTACGCGGAGACTAAGACATACCCCGCTTACCCAACTTCGACCCCTGTCCACGGTGAGGAGTACCCTCCCTACAAGTTCAGCAGCTCGAAGCCCTCGGTAGAGACCAAGACCAATTCCGAGGACTACCCCCACAGCACACCTGTCTACGGCGGCGAGTACCCTCCCGCTAAGATCTCCTCAGTCCCCGCCCACCCAGCCACAACCACCGTCCCTTACCACGAGGACGCAACTTCCACCCCCTGCCCCAGCTCCACAAATCCCGTCGTCGACTACAAGAGCACTGCCTACCCTGAGTACCCCGAGTACCCTGCCGCCTCTTCCAGCGCGCCTGTGCACGACGATAAGCCAACTCCCACTCCGGCCAACTACGACGACAGCAATAAGTTCAGCTACGCTCCCTCGCCTTCCAAGACCGCCGCTGCCTACCCCGAATACTCCGCCGAGCCCTCGGAAGACAAGGAGAACAGCTACGAGACCGGCAACGGCTACGGCTACGCTAAGCGTGCTGGTGTTGTGCAGCGCCGCCAGGCCAACGTTGCCCAGCGCGGCAACCGCGTCTAAGTCCGCTCAGAAATGAGTGGATAAGGATGTTTCTTTGTGTTGATTATGTTCATATGTTCGGAGGATCGGTATACAAGAACGACTGTAGATGTTTAGTTTACTTTAATGCAAACATCACACTAAATAGCTGCTGTTCGTCCCACTTGCTGTCTCCCTAGCCCATCTAACCACATAAAGTAGCGTATCGGCGCTGACTGTTCAATCAGGCCTGCGGTAATGTGCTTTGCAACTCACTGCCGCATCTTCCTCGTCAAAGGGTTCACGAGTCCGGGGACAGGAATATTTAGTAGTATTCGACACCGCCACAGCAAGATGCTCAACGTTGTACATTGCTTTTTCTACCTTGTATCGCTATTTCTCAGATCTGTGCGAGAATATGCGCGCCCATGTAAAGGGAACACATCAAGCGTATGGCTAATGATCTCATGTTGCGGTATCAAGGGCAAATGTAAAACGAGTGTATTGTGTTGTTCTGTGTTCTTGTTCTGCTTGTATCTTGCCTCTCCAAGGCTCGCTGTGGGGTCTGTTTTGATGACGTGTTTGTGACGCAGCTGAGGTAAGAGGTGCTCAACAACACGAGGAAGCAGCACCAGACTACCGCCAACAACACGTGATCTGCTTCCCCTCTTAATCATCACATCTCATCTGCGAGGTAGGTGAGTCGAGGTCTTGTGTTGAGATCAATTGTACAAAGCAGCGGCCTTCTGGTAGCAAAATTAATGGTCTTGCCATGTTGTAGACACTGACTTACAGCTGGGTACCCCGAACCTATATGCTAGTCTAATCTCTGCGTGGCAAGGCTCTCAGCTAGAATTAAGAGTATCTCATTCTGCAAGGACTTCTTCTATAGTTGTTATTGCACTAAACTTTAGAAGATGAAGATTTAGAATAGAATTACAATTGTGTGCATTAACTAGTAGCGTGTATTACGTCCACATACACACTACCGTGCTGCGTGCACTAAAACATAGCTGTGCATTGATTATCAAATGCAGTCAAAATCACACGCTAAGGTTGGCTCGCCTAAAATCAGTAATATCTCCTTCAAAGGTGAGAAGTGACAAGGGTAACCAGGCAACTACATAATCCTCCTAGTCCCGACCCCATCGAGTTCCTGCAGCCACCTTCGTTGACCTGCAACATGGGCTCGGCATTCTCAACCCCGAACATTCCAATGGAAACTGGCCTGAATACAACCCAAATGGTGGACGCTCTTCCCACTCAAGAACCAGAGCATATTCAATATCATGGCCTTCCTGTCACCGCTGAAGCAAGCATGACGCGCGATGATTCGCAGACTTGGTACGCCGTGTTCTTCGAGCAAGCAGAGTGTGTGCCCCATCGGGACGGAAAACACGTCATCGTTCGCTGGCCAAATCTACCGCGGGGGCACATACATGACTATGGGCGAGAATCGACAGGCTGGCCAGTGGTCAAGATGCAAAATGTGTACCGACGCTTGGGCGAAGATAACGCCAGGATTGTTCGGTAAGTGGGAGACGGTTGTACGCACACAGCCAATATGCGACTGATGCGGCGAAGTTACGGCGGTATCCTTGATGACGGCAGTCTACTCGTCGAGAGGCTGTGGCCCGGCCCGTTCGACTTCAAGCTGCCGGTAATGACTGTCCCTGTACCTGCGAAGCGCGATCGTAATGACCAGACGATGCTGAGCTTATATTATCGATGGGCTCTCCAAGGTCTCGCGGCGCTCGCCGCATTGCACTCGCGTGGAATATATCTCAGAACATTTTCCTCTCAGATGGTGTGGCTGCGCTCTGACTATTCGCTCGCGCTGACCGGATTTGTTGGCGCCGAAATCGCCGGCGATGAGACAGATTACGGAGATGGCGGCCGCGTGCGGGAAGAGCTTATGGAATTCGACGAGGAAGCAATACATGGCTGCGTCAAGGAAGATATCTACTACTGGGCGACGTTCGTGTGGAGACTCATGACGAACGATTATACAGATGATCCACCCTCGGTTGGAACAGGCTGTTGGGAGCCATGTTGTCCAGTTGAGGGTGGTTGCAAACCATATGATGACAATAGGGAAGCCTTCGACGAAAGATTCTTGAATAATGTGTGGCAAGAGCTGGAAGAGGCGCGGCTGGGCAAGGTGTTAGTGAACGCGTGGAATAGGAAGTATACAACTGTCGACGAGGTGGCCGAGAACATTAGGTCCATTGCATCGAACATGAATATCGCAGTCATTGACGATGAGGTGGAAATAGATGGGAAGTGGGAGGATGTGTTTGAAGTCGTTGAGACGGGACTACGGCCGCACGCTCGCATTCTCAGATTCAAAAACCCAGAATCAGGTTTGTAGATACACTTCGATCTGACTGTTCAAGCATAATCTCATGCACGGGGAATGAGCACATGCCTCAAAGTCAAGCCAAAGATCCACTTCCATCGACTACGACGCGCCAATACAGTAAGTATATCCTGGCCACTCCATAACAATCACCCCAGGCGGCGGATTTAGTGCATACAACCTATCCAGCGAGATACCAGCTACTTGTGTCATATTGTAGTCGTATACTCCACCCTTTTGTGCCACCTACTTGTTGCAGTTCGCTGGAATGCCGCTTCGCATCAGTCCTGGCGGTGCAAGCTTCGTCGCAGTAGCACCCGGTGTCTTACATTTCAGTGTCTATTTCGAGCGTGATGTTGTAGTAGGCGCGACCGCCGGTATCGGGGGACCGTCGTACTAGCCCTTCGAAAGATGGAAAGAGCAGAGTGGTGGTATATGACCTGTGCACGTAGGGTGCGGAGATGTGATGTGCGCTCTGCCGATTCAGACGTGTTGCTTCGGCTGGAGCTTTGTGCAATCGTTTCGGACAGCTGGATTCCAGATATGCTAGTCGTCTAAAGCATGGAGTCGTTCGAAGCGGGAAGTGATACTAATGAGAAACCAGATCTCAGGTCTTACACGCTATCATACTCAACGAATCAATGAGGCTGTGGAGAAATCGTCCAGCATTAATATCAATTGTAGTACTCACAAAATCACTTCTCGCAATGTGATGTCACATTTGGAGCGAGACCATCCAAGCCAGGCCCAGGCCAGGCAGTGTCTTTGTCTATGCGGGACATTGCAAAGCGATTTGACATCAGAATGTTATAAATACACATATGGTGTCTCCCGGTACTAGGAGTATCCTACTGATACCAGACATGGAAACCGGGATTGCAAGTGTTGCAGAAACGTGCAGGTATTATATATACGGAATTAAGCCAGGATGACGAACGGGTAAACACCCGTCTTATAGACCGAGAGCGTAGTGTTCGCAGCGTGCTTCAAGACGAATAGGGGAGAGGAGATAGCAACGAGGGAGGCGTAAGTCGATCTCTGCGAAAGTTACGTCTGCGTTATGATAGTGTGTCGTTCGCTGCTTTATTCTGGACTCGGCGCGTCGAGTCGAGGCGAGAAACCCGCGTAGCACGATGGCAATGCAAGACCCGTTTTCAAGGACGAGACGTGAGATCCTCCGCGCAATCTAAAGGATCTCAGGATGACGGGGAAGGCGCTTATGTAGGGCAATAGTACAGATCATTCAAGCCGCTAACACGTAATTATTATACATGTTGCAGATTCCCCGTTGCCGCACCAATCTATTCCGCAACGACAGAGTGTCCCATCCCTCTACCGTTCACTCAGACATAACACCTCTCCCAGCCCCCGCCACTCCTAGCAAACCCCTGGCTCTCCACAAAACGGGCCAGCGTACACCTACCGAGCTCATCACCACCGCAAAATTTTAGGGGATGCACGCGATCATTGACAACAACACGGACAAACTCCTCTTTATCGTGCTTGCACCGCAACTTCTCGACATACATCCGCGCCGCAAACGGAACCGTCCACGCAGCCGAAAACCCAGTCTCCTGCGCGCTCTTAACAGTGCCGTTTGACAGCTTCGTAGTGTTGTACAGTCCCAGCGCGGCAAAGACACCGCTCATATCGTTGTCGTGACTGAAGTCCGCGTAGACCTTGTTGTGCAGGGGGAAGGTTGCCGGATGCGCATCCAGGGTTGTGTTGGTGTTGGTGTGATCGACCACCGGCTTTCCGGTCAGGCGCGCGAGGAGCTCGTTGACGTAGCCCACGCCTTGTGTTGCGCCGAGGGGGTTACCTGCGCCGTAGCCGAAGAATTTGCCAAGGGTTTGGTAGTAGTCGTAAGCGTGCCACTCGGCTTCGGCGAACAGATGGCAGAAGTCGGATAGTGTCGAGTTGGGACTTGCGAGCGTGTCGTACGGGCACATATCCATGAGGTTGATGATGGAGCTGGTGGTGAGATTCAAGCCGAGGGCGCCATTGATGCGTTTCTGGATGGGCGGGACGAATTTTGATGACCATGCCTTCTGTGCGGCTGCGCCGAGGTCGCTGTACGCGCCCGTCTCAAAGGCAGGGCATGTGTCGTGGGACAGGGTGTTGTTGGATGTCGTAGCCTCCGGGATTATCACGTCGACGGCTCTAGTCTGCGTCTTCAGCGATTGCGCAACACCCGTAAGCCACTTCTGCGCTGACTCCACGACGCGACCTTGACCGCTGGATCTCACGAAAGGCTTGTGCTTGTGCAATAGCTTCTCATATCTGCGCGTGAAATGCGCACCTGAGTTGACCATCTCTTGCCTTCCAAAATCTGTGAGGTCATCGGCGCCCAAGGTATAGTTGTAATGCTCCAGGAACTCGTAGTCACCAGGGAACCCTGTCGCGTTCTGTTGGATACCTGTGATGAGAGAGTGGTATGTCGTGGTTTTGGCCTGGGTGGGATCGCGGCCGCCATGGCGGGACAGCACGTTCGCGAAAGTCACTTCGCAATCCTGCGGAGGCGCGAGGCCGATCTCTGACGGGACAGCAAACCACGGTGAGTATTGGCCCCAGAAATGAGATGTCGGCGAATCGCAGCGATACCCCGCGTCGACACTATCGCAGGAGCCAGAGCTGGTACAGAATTAGCATTCCAAAGTGTCGCTGTCTGCTACGGCATACCTTTTGACGGCATTGACGTTGAGAACAATAGCCGTGAGCAGTGTAGCGTACATTGAGACCGGCATGGCGTGTTGAGATGAGAGTCGCCCTGAACATGTTTTTAACCGGAGCTCAGCCTTTAATACAGTGGCCTTGACATGTTGAAGAGGATCAAACAGCGAGCTAGCAGACGACTACCTATAATTCAAGGCCGGTCCGTCGATCTCTGGAGAACAAGAGCATTGAGAACCAAACAAGGCGAAGCAGCAAACCCACGTGGTCGACACCACCGCGTAAAGTTGTCGATAGATTACGAATTCATACCCGCTGTGGGTACAACTAACGGGACGTCGACCGACCGATGCCTGTTGAAGCACTAGACTCAAAGCTTGTCCTGATTAAGCCTTGCTAGTCGTCCGCGCTTTATTCCCGTCGCTCGCTCGACCATGCACCGACGGAGCAGAGCTAGCTCAGTCGGAGCGCAAGACAACTCTCAGCTCAGGCAGACGCTGTTATTAGCAGGTGCTCGAGAGCTATCGCAGACGTCGCCGGAACGTGTGGCCCTGGTCTGGTGGAAGACATGCACGACATCACCGTGGCAGCTGATGTGTACCGAGGGTAAACGTACTTTGTCGTGCGAGAAATGCAGGCCCTGGACGTGTAACTGCAGTGAGCTAAACATGCATGCGTGCTGGTTGTAAAAGTAGAGGTGCAAACTGCACAACTGACTTGACATTCCGCAAAGACACGAAACGATGAGGAGAGCTGTTCTGCGCGATTTCGACCTAGCAAAAGACTGTAAGCCCACTGTCTGCTCGGAATGAAGTTCAAAGGAAACTGAAATGTAACTCTTCCACCCGGCATGAATCACGTCTTGCCGTTGGCGGGAAGTGTCTTCAACAAAGGCTCGAGATCCTTGAACTGTACCGGCTTAACGAGAAACAAATTGAACCCCGACTCCCTAGCCATACTGCGGGCAGCCTCGCTGCCAAGCCCCGTCAAAGCCACGATATGGGATCGAAGCACGCCTCGTGGTCCCTGATGCTCATGCCGACCAGCAGGGTCTCGAGCTTCGTGGGTGGCTGCGACACGATCCTGACGCTGTCCCCGCTGCTGTGCTTCAAACTGGCGTATTGCTGCTGCGGCCTGGAAGCCGTCCATGACAGGCATGCTTATGTCCATGAGCACGCAGTCGAATGGGTCGGCTTCTTCGACTGCGGCTTTGCGGTAGAGGCGGACTGCTTCCGCGCCGTCATATGCAGTGGAGAAAAGAAGGCCGGTTCCGCGGATAAATGCGGCGAGTAGCCTCAGGTTGATCGGGTTGTCGTCGACAAGCAGAAGGCGCCTGTAACGATACTTGGGAAGCTGGTTCTGAGGCTCTGGCGCTGCAGTGTGAGGCGGCTGCGACGATGGCGAACGGTGCAGTGTGAGTGTTGGAAACGTGTTTCCCTGGGCACTGGGGTCGGCTTCGGCCCGAGCACCCCTCGTCGGAACGTTTATGCTTTTGCCTTGGAACAGTTTGACTTTGTCTCTTGTCAAAGACACTCCGGGGGGATTCGCAGCTACTTGTTGTGATGGATCCTGGCCTTTGATGCCTGCTGTTGGATGAGGGATGGCTTCTACGGGAATGACCTTGGCCAACGCCGTGTCGACAGCATCCCACAGGATCCGTCTCGTGATGGGTGAGCTGATGAATGTGGCTCCTTTCCGTCCGAAGAAGTCCCTAGCCCCTTCTGCAGTAGGCCCTAGGACAATGATGGGACGCGAAGCCATTGCTGATATGATTCGAGGAAAGTGCTCGTGAAGATGGAGCATTTCCGTTGAAGATAGTGCATAGGTGTCGAGCAGTATCAAGTCTGACTCCAACAATGCGTCCAAGGGCGCGTCGTCAACGAATATCATGCCGAAATAATTCCCGCAGATATTACGAAGACATCGCTTGAGCAGTCGAGGCGGAGCTACGAGATGTGGTCCGGGCTTGCTGTCTGGTGCGGTCTGGGACGCTATGCTGATGAGGCTGAAGGTCAAGTTCGCCGCCTTGCCATACGGAGCGAGGCTTGCTCTGATGTCTGGTGTGCCGAGGGTACCAGGCTCTGCCTCGTGTGGAATATTGACAGTGACACGGGTGCCTTGGTGCTGGCGGCTTTCGACAAACATCCTGCCATCAAGCGACTCGACGATATTCTTCACGATATTGAGGCCTAACCCGGTCCCTGGGATCAGGTTGTTCTCTTGCATGAACGGCGTGAAGAGATGGTACTTGAGAAACTCTCGACTCATCCCTACGCCGCTATCAGCAACAGATAGGCTGATGCAGCGCGGGCCAGCATCGGGATCGTCCAACAGCCGTAGGGTTACATCGATGTGTCCTGATGCAGTGAACCTGAGTGCATTGGAGAAGATGTTCAGCAGAATCCTCTTCCAGGCTCCAGGATCCATGCTCGAGATCCAGTCCGAGTTGTGGTCGATGTGCGTGGTGATGAGTACCGGCTGGGCTGGTACTTGCACTCGACAGACAAGCGGGTCTTGATACTCCATCTGCAAACCCAGTTCCATTTGAGAGACCGAGTTGTGGCCCAGCGACACTGCTTGCAGAACGTCTTCAACGAGAGAACTCAGATCGTTTGCCGGCGTTCTTTTAGGTGGGCTTTCAGCATCACACTTGGCGCGAGCAGCGGACTCTCGTTCTCCCTTGAGGCTGTTGATTTTTGAGAACTCGAGAAGATGACTGAAGGTGTCCAGTAGAGTGCAGCTGCACGACTCGATCATTTGGGTTAAAGAGAGCAAGAAGGGGTCCTGCAGGGTCTCTTTCATGAGTTCCACGGTCGCTAGTATCCCATGCAATGGGCTCCGCAACTCGTGACTGACGGAGGATATAAAGTCGGATTTTTGCTGCGTCACTGTCGCAGCTTCCAGACGAAAGATCTCGGCCATTAACGAATTTCCGAACACTGTGAGCAGATTGACGTCGTCCGCCTCTAGAGTGCTGCTAGGATCTGATACCCAGGCCAGGGCGTTCAAGAAGCTCGACTCCCTCTGGTAGTGCCAAAGAGGCAGAAATATCACGTGCCGAGCTTTTGGAATACAGTCGAACACTTCGTCCCGACCTTGGTGGGGGGCGGATGTGCCGCTTGAGCGTGGGCAATCTTTCGCTTCTTGGAGGCCCTGTCCAGAACCGACATGCTCGGCTTTCTTGAAGAGATGTCCATGGGGATACGCGGCGGTCAAGCGTCGTATGAAGGATTGAGTGAAGCGACCAAGACTCGGTGACTCAGTCGTGCCGTTTCTTCGGTACACTGACAGGGGCTGTGCAGAAGATTGGAGTTTCTCATGAGCATGCTGCGCAAACTCGTCGTCCGTGTGGCTGTAAGACGAGCCATGCGCCCCATATCGCGCACCTGTGTCTACTGCGTCGAAGAACACGAAGCCGTCTAGATTCATAGCACGGCCAATCATGTTTGCGGCCTTGGGCAAAAGATCGCCGACTTGAGCCAACAGCCCTGGCTCACGTTGCTTGGAAACGTCATCTTGCTGAGGGCTCACAGTCGTCACCTCTGTAGTTCCAGGCGCAAGGCCTGAATCACTCATCAGCACATGTCCTGGCTCGGCGTTGGCGTTGGTCAGGCACTAGAAAGTGTTATCCTCCCCTCTGGAGCCATCTTTCTGCTGTTGCAACTTACGTCACGGTCCCCGTAAGAATCGGTGTTCCCACTAGAACGTGAATCGAAGCCTGGACGTGAGACGTTCTCGAAGATGCCAAGTGCGAACGGACTAGTCGTCTGTGTGCTGTCTGCCTGCTTGTGATCATGTGACGCAATGAACCGACCAAGTCCGTCCATGACTCTTTGCGAGCGCATTCGACTTTGCTCGGCGCGTTTCAGGTCTATGTATTGAGTGATCGCCGAGACGGCCTCTCGCACAGCACGCAGAGCGTCAGGGTGTAGAAAGTCCCTCACCTTGTCGTCGACTATACAATAACTGCCCAGGACATGTCCAGAGTGCGAGCGCAGCGGTATCTCGATGGAGGAAACCATTCGCGGGTAGCCAGCTACAAAAGGCAGGGCAGCAAAAGCAGGGACCCTGCGGAAGTCTCTGACGCAAAAGTACGACTCAGTTGCCGCAATGTACGGACTCTCAGGTACTGTGACCTCGCTGCCGTGAGAGGCGGACATTGCATACGAGCAGACCCCCCAGTCAAGGGCGATCCGGGTCGTGCCGAGCAGAAGAGGACGTGTCGGGCATGCGTCTACAATGGACTGATGCCTTGTCATTTCAGCGCAAACGAATTGAAACCCGGCGTCGACAAAAGAGAGGAACGCGCGATCGCACTCGACCGCATGTGCGCCATGTTGAACAAGCGCGTTCAGCACAACGTCGGTGCTCGGGACTGGGTTAGCTGACGGTCCTCCTCCACCCTCGACGGGGAAGGAGGCCGCAGAGAGGTAGCTGGCAACGCTGTCAGTCAAGCGCTGTACATGAGCTCAGGGCGCACTTGGCAAACGGCTTACCTAGCGATATCGCAAGCGCTGGCACGTTCGCGTGGATCAAATGTCTGTGCAGAGTCCGCACAGGCCAGCTTCCCAGCAGCCATACGGCTCCGGTGTGTGTGTGTTTGGCCAGCAGGATCGCGTCCCCAGACCTTGGGCGACCGTCCAGTACGAAGGTGAGATGCAACGGTGGATGCGAGCGGGCATTATTCTTTCACACGACATCAAATTTACGGAATCAGCGGATCGATACGGTAAAGCTTGGCGGGGAGAGTCACGCCACGATGTTCGAACGATGGTGAGGTGTAGACTGATCGTGATTTCAAGTGTAAATCGGCCAAGAGGTCCCGAGGCCACCCGGTCAGCCATGAATAATCAAGAGCGTTGCAGCATTGTCTACAGTGCAATACATTGTCCACAGTGCAATACATTGTCTACAGCGCAATACATTGTCTCCAGCGCAATACATTGTCTCCAGCGCAATACATTGTCTGCAGTGCAATACATTGTCTGCAGCGCAATACATTGTCTGCAGCGCAATACATTGTCTACAGTGCAATACATTGTCTACAGTGCAATACATTGTCTACAGCGCAATACATTGTCTGCAGCGCAATACATTGTCTGCAGTGCAATACATTGTCTACAGCGACAAAGCGCACACGAGAACCGCCCATTCCAAATCCGAGCAAGACTCACCTCAACCCCCGACCCTGGCAAGATGCGCAAAGCAAGCCAGACCGAACAACAGCACTGCAGCGGCCGCGAACAGCGACGGTCTGAGGCAATTCGATGCTCTGTCCACAGTCGCCTGCTCATGCTGGACGCGCTTGCTCATTACCAAGTCACCACCAGGCTGTTGCCGCAGGGCAGACATGATCAGAGGGCAGACATGATCAGAGGGCAGACGTGATCAGAGAGCAGACGTGATCACAGAGCAGACGTGATCACAGAGCACATGATCACAGAGCACATGATCACAGAGCAGACATGATCACAGGGCACATGATCACAGAGCTACTGTTCCGCTCAGTGTCACCGACGGACTGCCAACGTTCCATCCCCGGGAGGCAGAGGAGATGGCGGACGAGCTTGCGCTCGGCGCTCGCTGGGGTGTAGGTCCCGACTTGGCGTTTGGTCTGGTGGGTGCAGGCGTGTTGTGTTGACGGTTGGGGTCGCTGCTGGAACGTCTCCAAGTGCATCGCAGAGTCGGGCTGGTGTCACGTGCTGAGCATGGGTACATCACTCGCACATGCAAAACGCAGGACGCCGAGACTCGCATTGTTGCTGCTCAGAGAGGATTGCATTAACACGTTGTTCTAAAGCTACGGAGACGGAGCAGGGCAGACTTACATGGTGGTGGTGGTGGTGGTGGTGGTTGTATTTGTGGTTGTATTTGTGGTTGTATTTGTGGTTGTATTTGTGGTGGTGGTGGTGGTGGTTGTAGTTGTGGTGGTAGTGGTGGTGGTTGTAGTTGTGGTTGTATTTGTGGTGGTGGTGGTGGTGGTTGTAGTTGTGGTAGTAGTGGTTGTGGTGGTAGTGGTGGTGGTGGTGGTGGTGCTGCTGCTGCTGCTGCTGCTGCTGCTGCTGGTGCTGGTAGTGCTGGTCGGCGTCGTCGTCTGCATGCACGGCGGGTACAAGATTGCATGGTGCAGCTCACTCGATGCTCTTGGCCAGGGCCCACAGGCTATCGAGCTTGCTCCGTGCGAGGACCTCACGTGCCTCGCCGGCCGTCTCGCACATCTTGGACCCCCACTTGCGGAAGGCGCGGCGCTTGACCTCGCCCTCGAACAGCAGGGAGCACTTGTTGTGGGAGTGGTCCTTGAGGTTGCCGTGGGCGTCGAAGCTCTTCATCCACTCGGGGTCGTTTGCCGTCTTTTCAATCTGGGTCTCGGTCGGCTCGCCGTTGTCGGACCATTTGATGCGCTGCAGCATCAGCTTCTTGTACTTGTCAATCGAGTGCAGGCCGCCCTCGACAATGACCAGGTTGAGCTCCGGATTGAAGACGGTCAGGCCCGTGAGGGCGTGTTGCTTGGCGTTCATGTCGATCTGGTAGCGGTGCTTGCCGTAGGCGAGCGTGTTGACCTTGAAGACGCACAGGTAGAGGCCCTTGCTGGCGTCTTTTTCCTGGTTCTTCTCCAGCTTCGCGTGGCGCTCGTCCTTGTCCAGCTTGCGCTCGTGGTTTGCGTCGACGTGGTCGTTCTCGCGCTGTGCGATTTGCTGCTCGACGAGCATCTCGACGGCCGTCGGGTCGGCAATGGCCTGCTCGCCCATGACGCGCATCATGTTCCCGCGCTTGACCTTGGGCGGTGGCGGCGGCTCGAGCCCGAGCCGGATCTTGGCCTGCTTCTCCTTGAGGTCTTCTGCGCGACGCATGCGCCGTGCCTTTGCCTGCTCTTTTGGCGTCAGGTACAGCGGCTTGATCTCGATCAGACGCTGGTCTTGCGGTGCCTTTAGCAGCGGCGGGTGCTGCACGTAGATGGTGACGATGGAGTCGTCCGTGTCGACAATGACCTTGTCGCCCTCGCCGAGGCAGTCGTACGTCTTGTCCTTCAGCAGGCCCTCGTCCCACCACTCAATGTCAGGCGGCTGCTCGACCAAGAAGCCGCGCTCGCTGTTCTCGTCGAGTCCGGCGCGGCGCGCCTGCTTGGCGAGCATCCTCTTGATCTGCTCCAGCCGGCCCTGCGCCCGCAGCTTCGACGCCTGGTCGAGGTACTTTCCATGCTCGTTGAACTGCAGCGGCTTGGACACGCGTGTCCGCGCGCCCGGCTGGCTGGCGGCCTTGGGGTCGTAGTATGGGTTGAAGGCGTCTGCATCGCGGTCGTCCTTTTGCTTCGCTGCGGCGGGCTGGGGCTTCGGCTCGACGGCCGGTGTCTCGGGGCGGCGGTTGCCCAGCGTTGTCGCGAACCGCGGGCCCGCGGGCTCTGCCGTGGCAGGCTTCGCCGGTGTTGCGGCGCCGCTGCCCGCTTTCATAGCCGCCATGCGCGCCTTGAGCGCTGCCAGCCTGTCCTCGGTGCCCGCGGGCGCAGGTGCTGCGGGGGATGCGCCATTCGCCTCTGCCTTGCGCGCAGCCAGACGCGCCGCAATCTCGGCCGCCTTTGCTTTGGCGGCGGCAATGGCGTCGGCCTGCTTCGCGCGCTTCGCATCGCCAGCAGCAGCCTCGGCGGCGGGGCGCTTGTCGACCATGTCGGCGGTCGCGTCGGCGGTCGTGTCGACGGTCGCGTCGGCGGTCGTGTCGGGGGTCGTGTCGGGTTGGATTGTTGCGTGTGCGGAGTTTCTCGGGGGTGGCCTACTGCTACCTGCTACTACCAATTACTACTAACGTATCCCACGGGCGAGCCGCTCACCGAGCGAGCCGCTCACTTTTGCCAAGTCCCCACCAAACCTCACCCTATTATGGCCCAAAACTCTACAAACTAGCGCTGCACAAGGCAAAACAAGCTGTAATATTACTTAGAGACTATTTCTACATTATTCTTGCATGTTCGCGCGTTATGTCCAGTCTTATTGCACTGTCTGCAGCGCCTTTAGGTTAGCTTAGCCACATCAGCGCGCACTTGCTTCTTTGCCTTCTTACTATCACCACGCGCCCCAAACTCTATTAGAGCCATTAATTGCTAGCCCTCCTTAATTATTAGGATCCTTTCTGCCTTGACTTGCTTTCTTTTGTGTGACTTTTGTTGTGTGGCTGCCTTATTTGCTGCTCAAAGCTTAGCAATCTCCTGTTGCGCCAACACTAGCTTGTGCGCAATTATCGCTGCCCCCTTTAACACCTTCTTAAACGCTTCAACTATAGAGGTAGGTGAGCTATCTATATGCCCCTGAATCCTTGTCTTCACAAGCGTTAACTGCGACCTAAGTTTAAGGGTGTTGCTTAGGGTTTGTGTAACAGAGTAGGCGCCCTGCCCTCGAAATCAATACTACGTGACTTCTCTGCCTAACGTACTCTATCACCGAGCCGGTCATATCACCGAACCGGTCACTTAAAATCCCACCAAAAAACACAGAAACCATACCCCTGCATCTCAATAACTACT